TTTTAAGAATAGTTTTACAGTAGCTTATGTTAAAGGACCATTGAAGTTTTCAAACATCTGAAGTTCAGGAAGCTTTAAGATCTTCCTCTGACCCCCCCACCCTTCCACCCCAATCCCCACACACTTATATTACTGAGATGTATTTACATTATTAATTCTAGTATTGTGAGGTTTTTAGACTGGCAATTTCAGCTGTGCTTAGAGGTAGTGCATTGTAAATCCTGAAGCTTGCTAGTCATACTGAATACTAAGCAAGTAAGTAATCAGAAAACAGTTGTAAGAAATTTTGTGACGGCATTCTTCAAAGCCATGGATTCCATGATTTTCCATTGTTTGCTTTATTATCATGACTTTCCCTTTCCCCTATGCCCCATAGGAGTGAAGTGGTATCGTTGCTTCAAAGGATGTTGTTGGTATGGTGACATGTCCCCTATGTGCACGAGTATAGTGAGTGAGAAAGCGAGTTTGCCACTGCAGGACAGGACGGGGAAGTTTCTGATGCTAGTGGAATTCCCTGTACAGAATACTGTAGATCAATGGCTCTCAACCTTTCCTGACTACTGTACCCCTTGCAGGAGTCTGATTTGTCTCGTGTACCCCCAAGTTTCACCTCACTTAAAAACTACTTGCTTACAAAAGCAGACATAAAAATACAAGTGCATAGGCACCCTATTACTGAAAAATGGCTTACTTTCTCATTTTTATCATATCATTATAAAATATATAATTTTATAAATTATAAAAGTTTATATTTATAAACTTATAAACTTTATTATAAAATTATAAAAGTTTATATTTATAAACTATAAAAGTTTATAAATATAAACTTATATTTCAGTATATAGTATATAGAGCAGTATAAACAAGACATTGTCTGTATGAAATTTTAGTTTGTACTGACTTCGCTAGTGCTTTTTATGTAGCCTATTGTAAAACTAGGCAAATATTTAGATGAGTTAATGGAAAACCTTGTGTAACCCTGGTTGAAAACCACTGCTGTAGATTATAGCCCAGTATGCCAGTTTAAATGGGTGCCTGCCCTGTAGTGCCCACTGCTGACCAAGTGTGGCTTTGCTGAGGCCTGCCTCAGTTTCCTCTTCACTCAGATCCCTTAAAAAGTCCAGATATTCATTCCCCTCCCCGGAGCCAATTTATAAAGTCCTGCACAAAGTTTTTCAAAATAGAACTGAAACCTACAAAGTCTTCATCCCAGGTTCCGATGGTCACAGCTCCTCCTCCCTGAGGGTCTGGCTTCCCTTCAGAGTTCAAACACTCTTCTGCACCAGTTCCAAGATGGGCACAGCTCTCCTCTCTGAGGGTCTGTTTTCCTCCCATCCCAGAACCTGTTGCTCGGAGTATGGCCTTCTCCACAGGCTTTCCGGCTGGTGTCTTCCTGCAGGACTCAGGGCCCTGCAGGAGCCTTAAGCCATGCTGTGCCTACAGGCATCTGCCAACTTGTACCTGCAGCCATCTGAAGGCCCAGGTGCCTTTCCTTAAGCGCAACTGGGCAGCAGTTAATCATTCCATGTGCCCTGGACCCTGCTTCCTCTTAAAGGGATCAGTCACCCTGTGACAGCGAACCTTATAATGAGGATGATCAAAGCACTATGGAGTGCTTTCTGCTGTAAATCATGACCAGAAGGTGTTTACTGTGTACATGTATTACTATATTATTTGTGTATTATTCCTGTGACACTGGCAATGCAAGAGCTCAGTACTGGAGACTAACCAAGTTTCCAGCCTGCTTTAGTACTGGGTATAGCAGTCGCATGGGGGAACCTGTAGGGAAAAATGTGATGAATGATTAGAACCCAATTTTCAGAGTGCCAGTTCTTTCTGAAAGTCAGGGTTGGAACCAAAATACTGAAGCAGCCACAGTCACTAGCCACTTTGGAAAATCTTGGCCATAATGTTTAATCTTTAAAAAATGTGAATTCATTTTACATTCCAAAAAGTACATATTAAAGCAGGTTCATTACTGTTCTGCTGTTACTTCCATTGGGCTGCCGTACTGCCAGGGTCACAGATCTTATCACTTCTTAGCAAGATAACCACCTCCAGCAGAAGACATGCAGAAATGCCAACTGTGATTTAAAAATGGAGGGCCAGCTAGTGCTCTCATTTACACCAAAGCTACTCCAGTGAAACCATTGGAGCGGTTGGGGATTTAAACCAGTATAAGAGAGCAGAATCTGGACCTTAAATAATACATTTCATGGTGTAGGTCCACAGGGCCAAACCCTGAAAGGGAAAGTGTTGCCTGGCTGAGAGCTTCAGAGTTGACCTGACTAGAGTTCTACTTACTCTAGCACTCTCATATTACTAAACTGAGCAAAATGGGTGCAGTTTTCCTTGAGGAATCCATTTAATTAAAGTCCTGATGCGGCTTTATTTAGTGGGGCAGGTATTTTTTAAAAGAGATGAATATTTAACCAGAATTTTAGATCCTACTTATTAACAGACCTGCATACATTGAGAAGAAACCCAGTTGTTTGTATATTCTGTCACTAATCAGATAGGCTAAAGGAGCAATGCAGGAAATGTGCAACTTACAACTCGATTTTAATAAAAAAAAATTCATAGTACCCTGGGCATTTTTATTCAGAGGTCTGAAATTCTGATTAATTGGAACTTTGGTGCTTTGGCAGCCCAGCACAAACACAGCAGCAGTGATGTCAGGTTTTGCAGATAACAATCTCTTGAGACATGAAACCTCATTAACTGAATATAATATTAATATCCCAAAGTGACACATCTACTCAAATTAGTTGCTTGAAAAACAGGATTCGGGACATGATTTAATCTGAGGAAAATGAGGACTAAGGGCAATGCACACATTTTCTAAAAGAAGACTCGCTAGACCAGCCTTAAATCTGAATGACAAATAGTTCAATGAGACTGCCATAACCTTTGAAAAAGGGCTCGAATATTGATGTCTGACCCAATTGATAAAGTCCCTAGAAATTCTGTTGAATGAGGAATTTGTTTAGGACTGTTTCTGGATTTGCAAAGTAAGTCAGTAGCGTCCTAAGAAAATCTTGTGACACACAAGATTTCATTAGATGAGAAATAAAATCAGCATTGAGTATGCTGCTAAAAGATTTGGATCTCTGTATTTGGTAGATTTCTTTTGTGAGATATAGCTCCAAAAAGAGCTGGGAATGTGTCAATTTGTATTGCTAGAACCTGAAATCATAGAAGAGGCAGCACAAATAGTGAGCCCAACGGACCCTTGTAAATGTTCTCTAATCAATTTGGAGAAATGTATCTGAGTAAGAGGAAACACAGTGTATTTGACTGTGGTTTAGAGTCAGAGCGCAGTTCTTCCATGATTCTATATCCAGAATATATCTGGAGGCAAACACTCTTGGCTTTGTGTTGCCTGTTTGCAAACAAATCCAAGTGGAGATGGCCTCACAAATTGGTTAATCTGTTTAATCATATATCAGAATAGCCACCTCCCCTAACATCGTGGCTGGCTGGATGATATGCCCTGGAATTGTTAATGTTTTGGTTTTGTGTGTGTGTGGTTTTAGGGGTGTGGGGGAAGCATGCGTGGGAGGTTGACCATCAGCAAACTTGATCTGAAAACCCAGGGCCAATTTAAACACATTCAGAATCCACAGCACGTGGTTGGGGGCCCTGTCCTATGTAATAAATCATTCCCACCCTCGGCTTACTATTAAAATGTATGTTGTATGAACACAACAAACAAACAACTCCCATGCAATTTCCTATATTCCCAGAGAGACCTACGTAAGTTGGAGAGGGGAAGGAGTGCAGGCACAGGGGTTGAGGAGAGGTTGGGGGTCCAGGGACTGTCAGGTTAAGGGGACAGGCTGAGAGGGGGAAAGGTGAAGGAACAGGAGGCTGGTGTAGGGGAAGAGAATAGGAGTTCAGAAACAGACAGGCTGATGGGGAGGTGAAGAGTAGACCAGGGCCAAACATCATGGCCTCTACTCTGTCATATTCTTGTTGACCTCTTTACAGCTTTTGATACTGTTAACCAGATTCTTCTTGAAATCCTGTCTGCTGTTATCTTTCAAAATATTGTCCCTATCCTTCTTCTGCTCCTGCTTCTCTGACTGCTTCTGCAGTGTCTCATTTGGTGGGTCCTCCTCTTCTTTCGGTGGGGTCCCACAGAGTTCCGTTTTGGCCCCCTCCCCTTCTTGCTCTGTACCCTGTCTCTGATGATCTTCTCTGCAAAGGTGGCTTTAACTATTCCCTTTATACAGATTCCTCACAGATCTACTTCTGTTTGCACCCTGTCTCTCTCTCTACCCTAACCACATCTTGACCTATCTTTCTGATGTCTCCTTGTGGGGTCTGGCCATCAGCTGAAACTTAACATGGCTAAAACTGCACTTCTGATCTATCACCCACGTTCTCCCTTCTTTATCTATCACAGTGGACAGCGCCATCATCCTCCCTGTCACTCAGAGTATGTCTACACCAGAAATGCTCCACTGGCACAGCTGCACCTGCACCGCTGTAGTGTAGGCATTTACTACAGAGACAGAAGGGGTTCTTCCGTTGCTGTATGTCTCATTACTCAGTAGTGACTGGTCCACATATAGGAGAACAGTCTGCTATTGCTGCCAGTTACTCCATTAGCTCAAGCGGGCAGAGGTCTGTGCTGTGGATCTAAAGTTTTCAATCCTATTGGTGACCCATGGGGGAGGGAGGTCAGTATGGTTCCACATGATGGAATTTGGGTTGTGTGGTGTTTTTTGTTTTATTTTTAGTGTGCTATTTAAAAGTAGGAAATTATATACAAGAAAACCACATTCAAAGCAATAAGGTTGCAAAGTCAAGCACTCAAAAGTCAGGAAATTCCAGAATTGTGTGTGCGCATTATGTTACAGTCTTCAATTACATAATCACATGCAATTTTTCTTGACAGCATCCTTGCTTCATTCAGTTTTGATTATGGCAGTGGGAGTTGAAGTGTGCACTGTATAACCGATCAACGCAAATGTTTTTCCTTTCTCTCCTTTAAGGGGCAGATGTTCACGCGACTGACCCAAGCCGTGGAATGACTTCACGGGAATGGGCTTGTTACACAGGAAGATCAGAAGCAGCCTTCCTCATGCAGAGGCTGATGGACAGGCCATGCCCTGAGCAGTTCTGTGATCAGTATAAGTCAGAATGGCCAAAGATGAAGGAACTTCTTGCCAAGGCCACAGAACCAAAAAGCTGTTTGCAGAGGATCTCAGAGGGTGTGAGGTCAGCAATGTCATTCAGGGCTTCCTGTGGCCCTGAAGAAGATGGCGTCCTTGACCACATGGTTAGGATGACTACAAGTCTTAGCAGCCCCTTTATTGCCATATCTTGCAGGACTGTGTGCCCAGGGAGCCCACCCTGTGTGGGGAAACGCACACTGGCTGTGCAGGAAATCCTTAGGAAGCAGAGAGCCCAGGAAATCCGATCTCAGGACAGAGACCACATTAGCAGCTATGAGAAATTATTTCAGAACTCCAGAGTCATGTTGGTCCCCAAAAAGAAGGACCGGCGGGCTAGTCTGCAGCCCCTCAGCCTCACAGTAGCTCACATGAACACTGTGGTCACAAGGAAAGCAAGCCTCCTGCCACTGCACCTACTGAGAAGGAGCAGTGTGAGACCAGGATTTGTCATCCCCAAAGTCCGTGTCAACAAGGCTCCTCCACCCACCTACCAACCAGAGAAAGTGAGGAGGAAGAGCAGTGCCAAAGATGGCACTTATCTACAGATTCCCAAATGGAGATACAAAGAGCTAAAGGAGGAGCGGAAGAAGGCAGAGGAACAAGAGAAGAGGAAAGCAGCAGAAGCTCAGAAACTGAGGCAGGGGTCTCCACAGAAAAACAGGACATGACTCAATGGTGGGGATGATGTCAGACATGCCATTGTTAACAGACTGTGCACATCAAAGTAGGGGCAACTAAATTGAATGATGGCCCTATGGCACTGAAATAGCACATGGGCTATCACTGTCTGTATCTGGTGGAGTGAGGAAATCTTGGGGTTGAAGTGTAAAAAATTGTTTGTTTGCCCACTGGCAGAAAATTGAGGTGGTGATTTTTTCCCAAGATTAACAGCTGAGAAACAGCCTTCACTGCATATATGCATGAAAGGGCCATGTTTTGTGTTCATTTTCTACTGGATAAAATTAAGGGCTTCAGCTTTTGATACCAGTCGCTCTCCCTTCCCCTTCGGTAGGACCATATGAATTGCAATGCTTTGTAATAATAATGAAAACCATAAAGAGTTTAAGGTATGCCACAATCTTGGTACAGTAGGTGGAGGGTAATGAATCCAGGGCTATATGTAATGCAGATCTTTTTGAATATGGTAAAGCACTTTATGATTAACATTTTAATTCTGAAAACCAGAGTTTAAGACCTCGAAGGTATCAAACGCTACACATGTACTGTCTGAATGAATATGATTCTTAATGCTATTGGTTTTACTCTTTGAAGATAAAAAATAGCTGCATATCTAATATATACACTGTGTCAACAACTGAGATAATCAGATCCCCACTTGATGTAAATCAACCTGGCTCCATAAACGTCAAAGGTGCTACACCCATTTACACCAGCTGTGGATTTGGCCCAATTTTTTAATGTCATGGTCAACTTTAAGATTTCCCTCCACCCTTACGGTTTTTCCTTTACTTGCTATCGGCCTTCTTCTCTTTTGTCTCAGGGAATGTGTTACTCCACTCTTGTATCATTGCATTTACCTACAAAATCATCGGATGATTGAAGGTCCTTTTACTAAATCTAAGTTTGCCCCTTGGGAATGGTCCAGCATACAGCCAGAAAGGACCAGATGAACACTCAAATAATGAAATTGTCTTCTCCTACCTTCAAGAAGTAGCTCAAGGATAGTGAGTGCAGCAGTACTCTATGAAAAAAATCAAAAAGGTCATATGAAGCAGCTCATTCACCAGCATTTGGAAATCCAGGATACTCATCCTAGTGAGGGTCTGAAATAGTGCAACTTGGGTGCCAAATGGGGAGTGCTTCGTCTACCATCTCCATCCCAGCCCTTGGAAAACCATTTCTTAATATCAAATTCACAACAGGAATCACCCAAGCTGTTCTTAAACTGGCAGATGAGGAGCAACGTGTCAGGTATATTGTTCCATACCCTTCCTGGATCCCATAAAACTAATAAAGTGTGCTGCATATGGTGGCTTTACCAGCATCAAAGCCCTATGACTTTCAGAGCAATTCCCTAAGTCCCACACATAATCCTAGATGTAATGTTAGAACGTGAGTGGCATATATGGCCACAGAAATGCACCGTTCCTGTATACACATAGCCCTTTTGAAACTCAGAATTTGCTTAATTGGGCAAAGTTTCTTTCAGTCCATATTAAAGTTATTTTATTTGTAGCAAGAAGGTTGTGTAAAGGGCATAGAAACCACTTGTAAGTTTAGGAATTTTCTATAGATTTTTTTTTTATAGCAAGTTAGCTGACAAACTTTGATAAGGGCTCTATGCTTGCTACTTGCAATAGAAAGATAATGTTAATAGTAATATTCAAAAGAAAACAGCAAGGCATACAGTAAATAATGCATCTATGTTTTTAAATTTCCTTCCATTTCAAACACACTGTATTGCTCTGTGTTACTCTGCATTCAAGACTAGATAGAACTTAAATGAGAATATTACTGAAAATGTTAATGTATTGGTAACCCCCCTTCACTATACTCTACTGTACTCTCAATTACAGCCTTCCCAAATAAGGCTCAGTTCCCAAAGGCACTAAGAATGTGACTCTCTCTAGATATTGCTTCACATCTTGTCAACAGTAATATATTGAACTAAGACAGGAAACAAGCTGTTGCTGCTCTCAGGTTTTCACATTTAAGCAGCTTTAAGAGCTAGCAGTATTTAATAGGCCTCAGAGTCAATCAGGGCATTGCAGCTCTGCTGGTGGGACTCACTCCCCTATTCTCCTGCATCACACTCTCTGCCATTTCTTTTGCATCCATTTGAGAGAACGGTTTCTAGAGAAGCTTTTTACACTTGGGGTCAGACAGACATTTCTTATTAACATAGCCCCAAGCAGGCGGTAGGGGTACTGCATCTCAGTAGGAGCTCTGTCTCAGGGCAGTCCAGTGCAATCCCTTCTGCAGCTCCTGGGGAACCAAGCTGCTGTGTTGCTCCTTAGGAAGGTGCAGCATGCATGATGCTTCACAGCAGCTGGTCTCACTGGCTGGTGCAGAGAGGTTGAGTCATGGCCACAGCACAGTGGGACCCATTGCCTCTGCTGTAGTGGAGAGCATGCTTGGGGGTGCTCGAAGGGAGCAGTCCCTAAATGCAGTTGTGGCTGACTCCTTCACAACATGCAAAGAGGGGAAAGTTTGCCTGTGTCCTCCTCCTCCATAGCACATAGAATGGCCACAATCTGACCAGACTCTTAGTGAAACACTAATGGCCATGGACCAAAACCCAGCTCCTGGAAAGCTAGGGCTCACATCATGAAAGCGTCACAACTGCTGCTAATTAATCTCCTCTCAGCAGAGCCTGGGTGGACCTGTCAAGCAATGTTTTTCTCTCTAGCTAGGCTTTTTGTAAGGTCACCCCTCATCGTGGTGTCTATAGTGAGTTTAAGTATCAAAAGACAGATTCAGTATCCCAAAAGCAATCAATACTGCAAAACAAACACATGAATTTGCACTCTAACTCATGATAGAGTTATAGCTGACATACTTTCTCTCAGGGATTAATGTACAATAGGTTACAATTAAGGGCTGAAAATGAAGCCCATGTTCTAACCCTTTGTACTTTGCTGTGCATGTCTGTATATGTATGCTGAATTAAAAGAATTCAAATCTGTTAAAAAATATGCACTTGTTTTTCAGAGAGGAAGGGGTTTTGCCTTTTGCTTCTAGATCACCAATATGAGTTTAAACCAGGTCAGTAGGGATGGTTAGTCATTACCATTTTGCCTAGATGAATGGTATTAACCTGGGTGGTCTCAATCCAAGTCCTAGTGGACAAGTGTTCCAATGAGAAAAAAGTTAATTGTATTTGTTGCTAATTTGCGCTCTTGCTGGCTGTCTCTTCAGAGGTGAGTGGTTGAATGGGCATTTAAAATTCACTCGTGCTCAGAGATGGTCCCACTAAATCATATTTGAGGCCGATGGGCTGAGTCAGTTGGAAAAGCTGGCAATGTTGGCATCTTTGCTGCATATCATGTGACTGTTTTTTATATGTATAAACTCCAAATGGTTTCCACAAAACATCAGTCACCTCAGGAATACAGTGGCCAAAAATTAATCAGCCTCACAAAGATATGCTCTTAGTTCTGTCCTAACAACTGTACCCTGATCCTGGAGATTTCCAAATGGATCCTGCAGTTAGCCTCTATCTTTGCGAGATAAAAAGACAGAATTTAGATGCCTGTCTCTTACTTTGGTCAGTGTAATACTGTTGTTTACTCCAGTGACTGCAGTGGAGTTACTCCCAGTTTACGCCAGGGCGAGCGGAGAAAGGCCCATGATTAGCTACCTGATTTGAAATCACAGCAGTGTTTTTGATTGCCCTGTAAATCTGCATCCCCAGCTGCATTTCAGCAGAAATAGCTACATTTTCATTGTCTAATGACTAAGGGCTTCATTTTATCTCACTCTGAGTGGTCTTTTACCCTTTGTTCTTAATAATTCAGTCGATCCTTCTGGCAGCTTTCACTGGCAAGACTTCTATGGTGCCCTGATAGAAACTAAAGGTGCCTTTGCCAAAGGGAATCACAAGGAAAGGAAGGCAACTGCCTGAAGTGAACCTTCCTAGGGTGCAGCAAAATTTATACCTCCCTATGTCAGTCTGGGAGACTTTGGTGCGTTAATGGAAGTTATGCACACTTCTGAACCCAATGGCTAATAACAAATTATGGACTTCCATTTCCATAGCCTTTCCATGCATCAATTAATTATCATCTTTGAAAATCACTGGAAGGAGCCCTTTCCATCCTAGTGGTCATTCACAGGGAAGTATTGTTCCTGATGTGGGGATTTATTGCAGCAGTGAGCAATAGGAATACAAATAACTATAACAGAAAGAGAAATAACGTTGCCAGGCATAACCAAAATGTTCTCCGCTAAGCTCTGAAATAAAGCCTGTGACCACTTGTCTTGGATGTAGAGGTGTGGCCTGCACCCATCATAAACATCAACTGGAGGCTGCTCAGATAGATATGGAGCATTGATTGCATGCTTCAGTCTCTTTGGGCCACAATGCACTAGTCAGTTTCATGTCATGCAAATAAAGTTTGGCCCTTGAGAGTCTGGGAAATTGTTGCTGTCACCTGTGGTTCAATGCCCTTGGCTATGGATGTCCTTAACAGCCCTGAAGTGGTAGTTCTGTCCCCTGAAAGGAGCCCCAAGCTCCAACACTTGCTAAGAGAAGATACTTTGCATAGAAAAGTGCTGGTACTTGGCCTAGCTGTGATAAAGTTTTTGGGGGTTTTATATTTTAACAGGAAACTGCCGAGGAGCATGAGTGCAACTTCGAGTCAGTATTCGGTAGAGGTGCTCACAGAAGATCGTTCAGAGAAAAAACCTTGGACTTACCAATATTTCTCTCACAAAATACAAATCTTACCTGATATAGTGGAGGCAGTATGCCACATAAAATCAATACTTGGGCTCTCTTTATGAAAAATCTAATATTAACTATACGAAGGCAAATAAAAATGTACTACTTGTTTTGAACAGAGGATAAATTTGCTCCTGCATTTGGGTACTATCAAGAGAATTTGACCTTAGACTGCTATTTGCCATAGAGCTTTGTAAAAACAATTTGTGCTATACTGATCTTTGCATAAGTCACTACATAAGCACTTCTTTCTACCTCTAGTTATATTTATATAGACATAGTTGTTTCTCTAGACTTAATGGTTGTCTAAAAATGGAATTAAATAAAAGTCGAGTCATTCTTGTTTCTTTTGCTGTAGCTCCCATTGGAGACAGACGTAATAAGTGTTTCTGGTTTTACATCAAAATAGTTCATTTTCAAGTTGCATGGTAATTTGTTTCACTGCCTAAAAGAGAATTCTCAGCATTATTTCTGACCCATTTGAGTGCTGAGGTGGTCCTCAGAAGGCACTTTTCTTAGATTTTAAGAATATTTTTTCAAATTTCTACCATTCTTTGATCCCTATTGAATCCCAATGATTATTTCTGTAAGAACTACATCTTAGCTATTATGGTCAGATTCTAATGCCCCTGCTCATTATGAATATTACTTTATTCCACAAGTGTATCCATTAAAATCAGTGAGATCTCTCATGGGGTAATGTGCAACTCAGTGTGAGTAAGAGTATCAGAATCTGATCATTATGTTGTACCTTTGTGAAACAAAATGTACACAGATTAGATGGTCAAAATTAGCTAAACATTGTTAGGTTTTACATCAGTACTATAGATCATTTTTGAATTATAGATTCTAAGACTTCATATACTCTATGCAGGCAAAACTCCCACTGAAGTATATGACGAGTTTTGCTTAAGAGTTAACACTGTAGAATTTGGCCAAAGGATTCTGAAAATAGATCTCTATAAAGTAAAAACAAAACAAACAGAAAACCAGGATAAAATGAACTATTCTAGCTGTCCAACAGAGCACAAAACATGAAGGAAATACCTACTGAAAAATGACTGGTTTCTTAAAGTACACTGCTTTTCTTAAAAAAATATTAATCCCATATTTCTTTTCAGTTAAATGGGTGGGCCTCTTAACTGATATTGCTCTTTAGTAGACTGACAGTATTGCAGGCACTTCTTAAAGTAAATTTTGCAATGGAATCTTTAAATTCCAAATGATTGAAAATACTTCAGCTGAATTAATATTACTGTATTCCTCAGGAAAAAAATGTTATCTAATCCAGATGGGCTTCTTAACACATACTTCTCCAACTATTTACTAGGCAGGAATTTTTAAAAAAAAGACCACAATTGTTGTCCTGACACTAAAATCATCTCCTATAAACAGAAGAGACCAGCTCAGTGATTCCCAAACATTTGAATTCTGAGCCCTCATCAGGAAAATAAAACCAATCTCAGGCCTTGTCTACACTACCGGGGTAAGTCAACCTAAGTTAGGTTGACTTACTGCAGTGTCTATACCATGCTGCATCAATGGGAGACGCTCTCCTATCGACTTATCTTACTCTTCTCATTCCAGTGGAGTACCGGAGTTGACTGGAGAGCTCTTCATGGGCAATTTAGTGGGTCTTCACTAGACCCGCTCAATCGACCCCCATTGCATTGATTGCAGCATCGTGGATCCCTGGTGAGAGTAGACATCGCCTCAGTCTCCTGTACCATGTACTGCTAAAGGCCTATGTGTCTTAACAGCTGCTGCACATATGCACTACTATTCATTTGGTTCCACCTGCCACCACCACCCCTTTTCAGTGTAGATCTTCATAATGATCCTTCCTCTCTTTTCTTACAAACTTTGATGAGTAATGAAAGAGTTAACAATGTGACATTTAAAGTAGCATCCTTGGCATCTTAGTAGCACCCACTGAATTGAATGGGGCAGATCACAACTTAGAGCTATTGATTCTGGCTTTCCTCAAACAACAGCAGATGTCTCTGCATCAGTTATGTTCGGGTCTCTGATTTTCTTCACAACTATAGCAGCTAGAGATATACTTTTTTAAATGAAAAGCTGAGACTCTGGAGAACAATTGAGAGTTCTGTCTGTGCCACCCTCCCTCTCTTCCCCTCACACTTTCCATTATCAGGACCGGCATTTTTCTCTAAATGCTGAATTAGCCTCAGAATTGGGAAATGGAATCAGAAACGAGATGATAATTTGATTTTTGATTTTCTTCTAGTTCTGTGTAGGTACGCAGGAAATGAAGGCAACAGAGAAGGTGAATAATGGGGGAAAGGAGGAAAAGGGAGTCATCACTGGGATGCAGCAAAGTATTGTAGGCAATGGATTAGACAGACAAGCACAGAGGCTGCTATCACTCTGGACATTTACACCTACAAGTCCTGAAACAGGATCTTCATGAGTCTCTGGATAAATTATGTATTTTGAGGTAACTATTACGTGGTGGGGAGGGGGGGGAGGGGGAGGCATTGCATGCTAACAATCTCCATCCTGGCTTTCCCTCATGTGCTTCCCCTGTGCATTAGCTTCCAGAGCACGGCTTTCAGGGTGGATCCAAAGCCAAACAATGTATGCTTTCCATGCATAATTTATGTAGGACTGATTGCTCCCGAGTTGCAGTTGAGAGCCGTAGCTAGGAAGGGTGTCTTGTTACTCTGACTCATTAGGGCAGGAAGAAGAAGTGATAGGAGCTGGGACATCCTCAATAGCTTAAGAGTCAGAATCTTCAGTGACAAAATACTAGAGTAGAGTTTGAAAATTCTTCAGAGTCTAAATTTATAATAGTCCAATTCTGTGCCATTTCTTCACTACTAGACACTGCACACTTCCCCCCACTACCTCCCCCATTCACATCTCCTCTTCCCAGCAGCAGCAGATTTTCCTCCTTCCTGGCATGGAGGCATTCAGTGGCAGAGTTCAGGAAAGCATTAAGTGAGCATGAAGAGCAGAGGCAGAAGGTGATGCTGAGGCTAGTGGGGGAGCAAACAGACATGATGAAGTGTCTGTTGGAGCTGCAGGAAAGCCAACAAGAGCACAGACCCCCACTGAATCCATTGTATAACTGCCTGCCCTCCTCCCCAAGTTCCATATCTTCCTCTCTCAGACGCCCAAAAACGCAGTGGGGGAGGCTCCGGGCACCAAGCCACTCAACTCCAGAGGATGGCCCAAGCAACAGAAGGCTGTCATTCAAACAGTTTTGATTTGTAGTATGGCTACAGTAAGCAGTGTGACCTTGTCCTTCCCTCCTCCCGCACCCCACCTGGGCTACCTTGTCAGTTATCTCACTTTTTTTTAATTAATAAAGAAAGAATGCATGGTTTCAAAACAATAGTTACTTTTTTCCCTTTGCCAGCTGTGATCGAAGGGGGGAGGGTGGTTTGCTTACAGGGAATTAAAATCAACAAAGGGGGCGGGTTTGCAGCAAGGAGAAACACACACAACTGTCACACCGTAGCCTGACCAGTCATGAAACTGGTTTTCAAAGCCTCTCTGATGCGCAGCGCGCCTCGCTGTGCTCTTCTAATTGCCCTGGTGTCTGGCTGTTGAAAATCGGCCACCAGGCGATTTGCCTCAACCTCCCATCCCACCATAAACGTCTCCCCCTTACTCTCACAGATATTATGGAGCACACAGCAAGCAGCAATAACAATGGGAATGTTGGTTGCGCTGAGGTCTAACCTAGTCAGCAAACAGCACCAGCGAGTTTTTAAACATCCAAAGGCACATTCTACCACCATTTTGCACTTGCTCAGCCTATAGTTGAACTGCTCCTTACTACTGTCCAGGCTGCCTGTGTATGGCTTCATAAGCCATGGGAGCAAGGGGTAGGCTGGGTCCCCAGGGATAACTATTGGCATTTCAACATCCCCAACAGTAATTTTCTGGTCTGGGAAGTAAGTCCCTTCTTGCAACTGCTCAAACAGCCCAGAGTTCCTAAAGATGTGAGCATCATGCACCTTTCCCAGCCATCCCAAGTTGATGTCGGTGAAACGTCCCTTGTGATGCACCAGTGCTTTCAGCACCATTGAAAAGTACCCCTTGTGGTTTATATACTGGTTGGCAAGCTGGTCCGGTTCCAAGATAGGGATATGCATTCCATCTATCGCCCCCATCACAATTAGGGAACCCAATTGCAGCAAAGCCATCCGCTATGACCTGCACATTTCCCAGAGTCACTACACTTGATAGCAGAACGTCAGTGATTGCACTGGCTACTTGGATCACAGCAGTCCCCACAGTAGACTTGCCCACTCCAAATTGATTCCTGACTGATTGGTAGCAGTCAGGCGTTGCAAGCTTCCACAGGGCTATCGCCACTCGCTTCTCAACTGTCAGGGCAGCTCTCATCTTGGTATTCCTGTGCTTCAGGGCGGGGGAAAGCAACTCACAAAGTTCAAGGAAAGTGGCCTTACACATGTGAAAGTTTTGCGGCCACTGTGAATCATCCCATACCTGCAACATTGTGTGGTCCCACCAGTCTGTGCTTGTTTGCCGGGCCTAGAATCGGCGTTCCACTGTATCAACCAGCCCCACTGCAGCCACAATGTCCCAATTGCCACAGCCTGTGCTTTCAGGAACGTCTGTGTCCATGTCCTCATCACAATTGTCCTCGTGCTGGCGTCTCTTAGCCTGGTTCTGCACATATTTCAGGATAATGCACGAGGTGTTTACAATGCTCACAACAGCAGCGGTGAGCTGAGCGGGCTCCATGCTTACATGAGTAACACAGGAAAGAAGGTGCAAAACGATTATCTGCTGTTGCTTCCATGGACGGAGGGAGGGGTGACTTATGACATGTACCCAAAACCACCCTCGACAATGTTTTTGTCGAGGCATTGGGAGCTTAACCCAGAATTCCAATGGGCAATGGAGACTGGGGAACTGTGGGATAGCTACCCACAGTGCACCGCTCCATAAGCCGATGCTAGCCATGGTATGCTAGCCATTGAGGACCCACTCCGCTGACTTAACGTACTTAGTGGGGACATACGCAATCAACTGTATAAAATCGATTTCTAAAAATCGACTTCTATAAAATCGACCTAATTTCGTAGTGTAGACATACCCTGTCCTACCATGAATGCAGGGGACTGAACTAGATGACCTCTCGAGGTCTCTTCCAGTCCTACACTTCTATGATTCTATTAGGTGAGGAGCCTAAACAGCATGCCAAGGTGTGTTCAAATATCTCAAAGCCTTGTCTACACAAGAAAGTTTATTGGTTTAACTAAAGATGTTATTTTAAACCAATGTAGATAAACAGGCACAAAAACCTATGTGGACACTCTTATTTTGGTTTAAACAAGGCTTATTTTGATTTAATTTACATCAGTTAGGAATCAGTTTAAGCTAAACCAAAGTAAGATATTCAAATTGAAATAAGAGCCTCTATCCACGGGTCTGCATTGGTTTTTATTAAATCAGTTTTAAAACTGAGTCTTCAAGACTCTACATTTATTAAGGTTCTAGTTTTAGTTCTGTGATGATCCCATTTTTCCTATATTGTTTTCTGGTTTCATTTCCCAACAGTATAATAATGTGTTTGGATTTTTTTTTTTATTGTAAATCACATTATTTTCAGATCTATATAGTGAGTGTCTCCTGCTCTTCCCTCCCGCACCCCGAGTCAGCTGGTACCTTAGGGCCCAGTTTTGGCCCCCTTACTCACCTTGAGTACTCTGAGTATGCCCACACAGTCTAATTCTCACTGTCCTACCTTGGCAGTGCTGAGGGCTCCAACTCCTTTAACAATCTGCTGATATGTTACAATTTTGTATTAGCATTTGGGTTTTTGGAAGTTCAAACTTCTGCTTGCAATGATGAGTTAATTCAGAAGAACACAAGATATTTTCTAGAGACTGCTGTCTTTCTGGCTTGTGAAGACACTGCCATAATCTTTACTTTAGGGCTGTCTTTTGAAGATCATAGCCCCAGCTCAGGAACAAAGGGAGGCTGACAACAGTATTGTCAGAGCCAGATGATGAAATATTAATCTATGCTTTGTGACATCCAAGCTGGATTATAGTAATTCCCTCTTTGCAGGTCTCTCACAGGCCTCTCTTTACAAAATGCAACGTGTACAGAATTCAGCTGGCAGGATTTTAACATGTACTGGAGACAATGAGCAAGTTTGCCAGCCACTAAGCTTGTAGCCTGGTCAGAAAGACCTATATTAGTTCTGTATGTACCTATACCCTTTTTTGTTGTCACATGCAATGTATGGCCATGATGATAGCTGCTAAAAATGGCTACAAAAATATCTTAATTGATGGATGCCTCTTACTGCCCTTCCCTGCACAGGAAACCAAAAAAGTCCCCTTCCTCTGATAAGCTATTCCTATCCCTAAACAGAACAACACTGCACATCTATCCCCAACTCCTGTGCACCACCATGTCTCCTAAAACCACCACCTCTTCATCCTGCTATAGAACTACTGAACCCTGATATCTCCTCTTATTGAGGATGGTCCAAAGTCCATTAAAGTCAGTGGGAGTCTGTTAATTTCAATGTGCTTTGGATTCAGTTCATAAACATTCAAACAATAGTGTATTTTTGGTAACATTTTGACCTTATGCTTTGGATTAATTTTGCTTATCCTTTCTCTTGCCCTCCTCATTCTCTCTCCTTCCACCAAACACCTTTGCCCTCCTCTTCTGCTATATCTGTGATGAGTCTTCCCCACTCCATTGTCTCCCAGTGGGTTTTTCCCTCACTCACGCTCAAATTTTTTCAGTGGAAAAAATGGGGGAAAACTGAGCAAAGGGGAACAATCCTTACATTAAAAACCCCTTTTAAAAATCAAAATATTTTTTCATAAATGAAAAATTGTGAAAGAAAATTCATTTGCTTTCAAAATGTTTTCCAACAAGAAAAAAAAGTTAATCAACAATTTCGATCAGCTCTTGTGCCGATAACTTGAAAAGCGGCCTTTAGCGCTTAATTTTCAGAGAGGCTGAGCACCCACAGCTCACAGTGACTTCAGTGGAGGTTGTGGCTGCACAACATGTGGTGGTAAACAAACCTGATAAATCAAGAACTGGATAAGTAAACTTCAAATTCTGTGCCTTTGCCTCTCCTATGACAGACTTGTACTACAGTGGCACCTCAACTAAGGTAAGGGACCCCACTGTTTTTGGAGAGAGTCTTTCCTCTGAAGAGCCTACCATCTAAATAGATGAAAGTGGGGGAATGATCCCATTATTGTGGGGAACTTTCCTGACTTATACACCTCCCCGGTGGAATTGGCTAGCGAAAGGATCTGAGTCCTCGCTCCCATTCCCTTTACCCAGAGGCCTGCCTGACCTCAAGGACTCCCCTTCCACTCTCCTGTCTGCCAGAGTCCTCGTAACCCAACAAGGCTTGGCCCAGGACTCCTGGGGGGCTCAACCCCCAACCTTGCCAGAGGTCACTTAGGCCAGGAGCTAGGCGTCTCCACTCGAGGGTACTCTCTCCACTCTGGACGCTTCCCTGACCCACTAATCATTACATATAGTTCAAGCAAATAAGATTTATTAAACAGCAATCAATTTAAAAATAAGGAAAAACCAGGAAAGGTTAAAGGAAAACACATCACCCTGCTCTGTGGCACGGGGACGTCACAACCAGCGGCTCTGGAATGTAAGTGCAGTTCAGTCTGTTCCTCACATGTGCCCAGGCCCTGGCTGTGCTGCAGGGATGCTGCGAGTTGCACACTTGCTCTGGCGGTGGCCACACACCCTCGGGCTCTAGGTGGCAGGACCCTTCTTCCCAGCATCGGCCCACCCCCCCTGCATCGGGATTATGATCCCCCTCCAAGTCTGACGGCCAGGCCCCCTGGCTGGAAGAGGTGGATTAAAGGTTTGTGGGGTCCTGGGCCAGAGCAAGTGGGGGCCCCTCTCTACCCCTTCCACCAGCAGTCTCCCCACACCGCTCCTGCCGAGGAGCGGGGTCGGGGCACAGGAGATTTCCCCACTCCCCGGCAGGAGTGCTGGGCGGGCAGGCGGATCAGGCAAGTCCCCGCACCTCTACGCCACTCCCCGGCAGGAGCACCAGGTGGGCGGAGCAGGTCAGGGCACAGGGGTGCCCATTTTTCTAGGACCCGGCCAATTGGCCAGGACCTCTCGTCACAGCCCCTATTGGCCAAGTGGCTATTCCCTCACTGTTGGCTGGTGGTGTCTCCTGCCGGGGCCCTCTGCCCAGGGCCCACCTCACTCTCCCCAGCTGCTCACCGCACCTGGCTCCGGACTGCTCCAGCCCCAGCTTCAGCACTCTGCCTCCAGCACAGCCCCTGGGCGGCCCCTCGGCTCTGGCCAGCACAGCTCTGCTCCCCAGCTCAGCTCAGGCTCCTGCTCGCTCCTTAGCTCGCCAGGACCCCGGCCTCCTGACTCTCTTATTGGCCTGCCTGCCCTGTCAATCAGGCTGACCTGGAGCAGTAGCCTCCCCCATTGCCCCTTGGGACTGTCAGTGTCAGGGTCCTGATTTCCCATCGACCCTTCCCCTTTCTTTTGGTACTGGGAGCTAGCAACTAAAACACCCCCACTGAGCGTTAGTAAGGGGGCAACACAGACACGAGAGGCAAAGTGGCGGAAGGTCTGTAACATACCAGCAGAGTGAACAATGGGAGGGTTCACATGTGCCCATTCGTTCTACTTGTGGGTTTTTGTGAGTGGTGTTTAGGGCGGTATTAGCGAAGTGGAAAGACAAAAGAAAGGAGTGGGGAGATGGAAGGCCCCGAGAGGAGGGGAGAGAAGCAGGAAGGGCAGCCGGAGTGAGGTTGAAGTGAAGAGACAGAGGGAGAAGTGGGCACAAACAGCCAATCAGCACAGGGGAGAGAATGTCGAGAGTAAACCCTGGGAAAAGACGGATTGGTGACATCATCAGTAAACCAGTGGCTCAAAGGTGCCTGCCACAGAAACTCCTTTGTTTGCTGCCAATGCCTTGCCTCCGTGGATGAGCCTCTGTGGCTAAGTGCATTGGGTCTGGTTTTCCTTGAGGGGAGATCTACCCTGCACACTTCTAGGTCTAAGAGATGTTGGAGCAGAGCATCCCACCTGGACTCTCTACCCCTACAAGATACTGCTCCTGCCAATTTGAATCACTGGAGATTTTTCTTCTCCAGCCCACGTGGCTGAAGGGAGTGGTGGGGGTCACAGGGGTCCTCGTACACTTTTTACCTTCCTTTCCCCACCTGTGTAGAATGGGATAGTTATACCATACAGCGGCGGTGGGCAAACTTTTTGGCCCAAGGGCCACATCAGGGTTCCGAAACTGTATGGAGGGCTGGGTAGGGAAGGCTGTGCCTCCCCAAACAGCTTGGCCCCTGCCCCCTATCTACCCTCTCCCACTACCTGCCCCCGACTGCCCCCCTCAGAAGCCCCCACCCATCCAACCCCCCTGCTCCCTGTCCCTTGACTGCCCCGACACCTATCCACACCCCTGCCCCCTGACAGGCCCCCCGGGACTCCCATGCCTATCCAACCGCCCCTGTTCCCCATCCCGATTGCCCCCCACCCACAGAACCTCTGCCCCATCCAACCACCCCCTGCTCCCCGTTCCCCCCAGACCCCCTGCCCCTTATCCAACCCCCCGCTCCCTGCCCCTTTACCATGCTGCTCCGAGCAGCATGGCTGGCAGCCGCCAGCCATGCCCCTGCGTTGCCCGGCAAGAGCTCACCGCCCAGAATGGTGGCAGCACGGCAAGCTGAGGCTGCGGGGGAGGGGGAACAGCAGGGGAGGGGCTGGGGGGCTAGCCTTCCCGGCCAGGAGCTCCAGGGCTGGGCATGACAGTCCTGCGGGCCAGAGTTCGCCCACCTCTGCCATACAGCATGGATTTGCTAACTTAGGGCTTAACTGATTTTTCTCAAGTGCATTGAGATCAAAATATTAATTATTATTTAGAGCTACGTTTGTAATTGTACATGCTTGTAAAGTTAACCTAGTTGTAAACGTATTCAATTTCTCAGATTTTATAGCATTTTCCACCAGGTACATATCCTCTTACACACACCCCATATGTGAAAGAGGGATAACATTATTCACTTACTCACCTCAGAGGAAAGTGCAATGTTTGCACAATTCTTTTGCTCTGCACAGAATGGGTTGGCTCAGGCGGTTTGTACACTACCCATAGTAAAGCGCAGCACTCCTCTGAGAGAGAGAGGATCACAGAGCTTGAGGGTTATGATGGTGGGTGGCTCTCCTATACGTCATGGCTGTATAGAGGACAGCAACGGTCTGTTTCCCCATCTATAAAATGGAAATATTTGCTTATCTCAAAGGGGCACTATAAAGATTAGTTAAGTTCTGTAAAACTGTTGGAGATGAAAACTGTTTATTAATAATCATTTACTTCATTTGAAGGTGGTTGTAACAACATACTGTAGCATCTGGACTGGTTGATTTTGTTTTATTGCCTACAGTCCAAGTTGTGTGAGATGTCATCCTTAAAAACACAGAAGCCTTAAATCAGCATTTCTTTTGCACAACATACACCAAATACTCTTGCATAAATACAGGGCTAAAAATTGTAAGTCTATGTTTTGCATAATACCTAGTACCTTCCAGAGAAGGCAAAATTATGGAACATTCCATTATGCTTCTTAGGAGACTGGATGAATAGTCCAGAAGGGAGAAGTCCTGAAGACAGAATGGCAACTAACTAACCACCTGGAAGGGGAGGGGAAAGGAGGCAGCCAGCCACCGACAGCAGCAGGGAAATCGGGCCAGCAAAGCAGGATTCTAACTCTAGGATAATCTCCCAGTCGAGTATTTTTGCAAATCATATTAATTACATGACCATAAACGATGAATCTTCTTACATAATTAAGGGTCTGATCGAGCCCAAAATATGATCTGTGGCTGTTGGCTCATGAAAGACCGGTAAGACGCTAAACTCTCTATTTTCTCGCCTAGCAGTCTCATATTGCCACCGCATTCACCAGCCCCCCCCCACCCTACTCCTTCAAGGGATAGAATCCCACGTACCAATGCTAGTCAGGCTTTTAAATAAGCAGGTTATGGTATGGTGCACGGGATATGCTTTGACTCATGTCTTAAAACGAGCAGAGCTTTCACTGCTCTCAGTTAGGCAAGATTTGTACAGCCATTGCCATGGCTCTCAGTTCCGTTCGGTTTGTTAATTATTACTGGATGCATCAACGTGGGTACGGCAGATTTTTGGTGGCATTGTGAAAACCTTTTAAGAAGAATTGAGAATCCCCAGGGTGCATGTGCCCGGCTGCAGCGGCACCTGTAACCAAGGCCCCAGGGACTCCACCACAAGGTGAGCCTAAATTCTCCAGCAACACCCTAGAATTCCAGGGCAGCCAGGTGGAAGTGCTGCAACAATTTCACGTCTGTTTTTTTTTTAATTGAGGTTTTTACTGAATTAAATATAAATTATACAATCAGCACAGTAGCCCCAGGCTATTTTAATATGAATTTTAATTTGTTTGACATTGTTCCCAGTTTCTATTTTCATGGTGCTGCTGGTTGTCATCTTAGGTTTCAAAGTCAACCGTCTGCTGAAATGCATGCAACGGTGCCCATCTCTCAGAGGGATTACTTTAGGCTTTCGGCAGGCTCATGTAGCACTGTATTGGTTACACTCTTTTCAAGATAGCTGAGATCCTGTAGCACAATTCTGCAGCAAGAGGTGAATTTTGCAGCTAAATCCATAACGGTGGAACCCTGGATGCTGCCTGTAACTTTACTAGGGTTTCTAAGAAGAACCCTGCTATGGCTCTGCACGAGATTCTGAACACAGTGTGCTCCTTTACCAAACTGAAAACTCCATTTTGAAGGTGCAGGCTTTTGCCTTCCGTCTTATCTGTTCTCCTCTGTGTTGAGCTGAAATTTGAAAGGCTGGTGGCAAAAGAATTACAACGAAGAGTCAGTGATGTTACATGCTCTCCCGTTGAAACAGAATAACCATAAATAACAAGCTGGCTTCTAATCAAGAGAACTGGTTTGTCAGAGAAGAGGTTGCATTGTCAAGGAAGTCACCTGGTAGGGGTCTGGGATCACATGGGGAAGCGGAACATGGAGTCACCTGACAGAGGAGACCAGAGGGTTATAAAAGGAGAGGCGCTGAGGTGTTTGGGGTTATTGGCTATTTGTCTCCAACTCAAGGTGAGAGAGAGAGAAAGGTCACCCGCCATGTAGGAGAAGCCTGTATGAGGAAGGGGACCCTGTCCACCTACCTGAACATAGGTGGTCCCTCAAGCATTGATAAGGGGGGAGGGATAGCTCAGTAGTTTGAGCCTTGGCCTGCTAAATCCAGGGTTATGAGTTCAATCCTTGAGGGGGCCATTTAGGGATTGGGGCAAAAATTGGGGATTGGTCCTGCTTTGAGCAGGGGGTTGGACTAGATGACCTCCTGAGGTCCCTTCCAACCCTGATATTTTATGATTCTAAGGGAAGGGTGAGCTAGCGAGGAGCATTGTGTTGAGGACGTTTGTTGTGTTCTATATTATCTGCACTCACTTGTGCTTTATCTGTTAAGTATAAAAGAGCAATAGTGTCACTCTCTGGGAAGTGTGTTGCTGTCTTTATGTGGTATCCGCTTCACAACTGACATGCCTCCTGAGAGAGCTGAACAGTAATGAGAAGACGTTCAGCTTTGGGGGAGGTTGTTTTTTTGAGCATGAGGAGTCTGAAGGGTCAGCGCTCCATTAGAAGGCTCTTAGGAAGGGGTGTGTAGCGAGGCAATGACTCACCGGTGCGGCGCCTCCTGCTGGTCATCCTGGGAATTAGCTCTTCCAGCCTGGAGTACCCTCTACAGGCTGGTGTCTCGCCTGCTGCCGGCCACTATGTCCCTCCCAGACCCGGTGCCCCTTTACCTTGGGGTGCTACCCCCGGCAGTGCCCCCACACTCTGGGTCTCCCCTCCCTGGGGAACCCCCAACCCTCTATCCCCTCCTTGCCTTAGTGGCCAGTCTACAGTCTGTAAACCACTCATCATCGGCAAGGGGGTTGGACCAGCTACCTCTGCCTATTCCCAGGCTACGCCGCTGTAGCCCCAGTACTTTTCCTGGCCTTTAGCAAGGCCTGCAGCCTGGGGGTTTTCCAGGCTGGAGCTCCCCAGCTCCTCTGGCCGCCTCTTCTCCAGGTACCCATTTCTCCCAGGCAGCCAGGTCCGTTTCCCCTCTCTCTCTCGAGAGTGTGTCTCTGAGCTCCTGGCTCACAGCCCTTTTATAGGGCCAGCTGTGGCCTGATTGGGGTGTGGCCCCAGCTGTGGCTGCCTTCCCCAATCAGCCTAGCCTTTTCTCTCAGGCCCAGCCCTCTCCAAGGGCTGGCTTTAACCCTTTCCAAGCCGGAGCGGGGTGACCACTCCGCTACAGGGTGTCACACAAAGGGCCTGTGCCGAAGGACCAAAAGATTGGATTAGCAGCTGCACTCCAGTCAGGCTCCAGGAAGCTTAAAATATCTGGGGAGCCAGAGGCTTGGACTCCCCTCTCAGCCATCTGGTGAGTAGATGGCAGGGGACCCCAAGTAGATCTGTGACACACCATTTGCACAAGCAAAATTTATCCAATCATTTACAATAATCACATTCACTTAAAGACCTGTTGTTTCCTTCCTCTTATAAAAGCCACCAGACAACCCCTTGCTAAATGGACTGACAACCCAGGTCTCCTAACTCTTGCGTCCATGCTCTACTCACCAGGTCAGGGTGGCCACTGGAAACACTACCTCTTGGATGGATATAGCAATCCCAGCTTTCTGGGTCAGCGGGATCCTTGGAGAAAGCAGTAGCCATGTTGGCAAATCTCTTCAGGAAAGGTGATGCAGGAGGAGGAGAAGGTCCCCCCTAGCTGAACTTACTGAAGGGTTTAAAGTTCAGGTCAGTTGGAGTGACAAATGACGGCTCAGGTTGATGCTGGGTTTAATACAACCAGTTTACCTGTTGCACTGCTTTTTAATGCTCTCTCAAATGCTCCTGTGCTCCTGCTGCAACTGAGGGATGTATTAGTTGCTTGTTCCTTTAAAACAGAAATATGTAAGGACTGAGGAGAAGGGAAGTCATTGGGCTGGGAACATGAAGAAAGGAGAGAGGGTTGGCTGACCAGCCAACCGAAAGGAAGAAAAAGTTCCCAACTGCTTGCCAAGTTTAGTACTGGCTACTCCCTTCAAATGCAGCTTGTCAAGGTTCCTTCCCCACTCTGAATGCTAGGGTACAGATGTGGGGACCTGCATGAAAAACCTCCTAAGCTTATCTTTACCAGCTTAGGTTAAAACTTCCCCAAGGTACAAAATATTCCACCCTTTGTCCTTGGATTGGCCGCTACCACCACCAAACAAATACTGGTTACTGGGGAAGAGCTGTTTGGACGCGTCTTTCCCCCCAAAATACTTCCCAAAACCTTGCACCCCACTTTCTGTACAAGGTTTGGTAAAAAGCCTCACCAATTTGCCTAGGTGACTACAGACCCAGACCCTTGGATCTTAAGAACAATGAACAATCCTCCCAACATTTGCACCCCACCTTTTCAGGGAAATGTTGGATAAAAAGCCTCACCAATTTGCATAGGTGACCACAGACCCAAACCCTTGGATCTGAGAACAATGAAAAAGCATTCAGTTTTCTTACAAGAAGACTTTTAATAAAAATAGAAGTAAATAGAAATAAAGAAATCCCCCCTGTAAAATCAGGATGGTAGATACCTTACAGGGTAATTAGATTCAAAACATAGAGAACCCCTCTAGGCAAAACCTTAAGTTACAACAAAGATACACAGACAGAAATAGTTATTCTATTCAGCACAATTCTTTTCTCAGCCATTTAAAGAAATCATAATCTAACACATACCTAGCTAGATTACTTACTAAAAGTTCTAAGACTCCATTCCTGGTCTATCTCCGGCAGAAACCAGCATATAGACAGACACACAGACCCCTCTGTTTCTCCCCCTCCTCCCAGCTTTTGAAAGTATCTTGTCTTCTCATTGGTCATTTTGGTCAGGTGCCAGCGAGGTTACCTTTAGCTTCTTAACCCTTTACAGGTGAGAGGGGCTTTCCCCTGGCCAGGAGGGGTTTCAAAGGGGTTTACCCTTCCCTTTATATTTATGACACAGCTATTCATCGAAAAGTGACTCCATGAAAAATGACAATTTGGGGCTCCATATTTACTGGCTCCCAGACACTCTGACACATTTAAAGTGCTTCCTCTCTTTTCCCCTTCCTCTCCCACTAGCCTTGCAAGCCTGACCAGTCAGAATGGGAAGTTGGTGTCTTTCCTTCGTGCACCTCATATCTACCAACAAAGGTTGTGAGGCCAAATGAGGGTCTCATTCACATCTACATTTATTACATTGCCTTGAAATTACACTCTGCACTGACATCAGTGAAAGCCTTCACTGAAAGACTTCAGTGGGTCTGCACAGGTGTAAATGATTGGGCTTAATAAGCAATTCTGTTAACGATGCACAATAAGAAAGAACTCGGCTCTGCTCTCACCCCACTTTCCTGGCTCTGCAAAGCTAATGGGAGGCAAAACCAGTTTTCTGTCACTAAAGTCAGCAGATATGATTGACTACACACAGAGACTGATACCTCTCTGCAAAGTGACTGCAAAATGCTACCAAACCTGAATTCTCCACTCACACCAGTGGTAGTGCATAGATACAGGCCTACAAAAGGTGCAAGGCAATGGTTCAATGAACAAGGTGCCATCTTCATATACTCACTTTTCTGGGTAGAACTTTATTTTATTAGTATTTATTTGTATTACAGTAGCATCTATGAGCCCTCATAGAATATCAGGGTTGGAAGGGACCTCAGGAGGTCATCTAGTCCAACCCCCTGCTCAAAGCAGGACCAATCCCCAACTAAACCATCCCAGCCAGGGCTTTGTCATGGACCAGGCCCCCATCGTGTTAGGCAATGTACAAACACAGAACAAAAAGGCAGTCCAACCCCAGGGGCTTAAAAGCTAAGTATGAAACACGAGAGAACAGATGGATCCAGACAGGGGCATACAAGGAAACAAAGCAACAGTTTTGGTCAGCATGAAAGGCAGTGGCCTCAGCACACTAGCAGCCTAACCACTATCAAATTTTATGTAGGCATTAAAGCAGAGTTTTGAGGAGGGAAAATAACTTCTGGGGGAAGGTGGTCTCTATTGCTTGTGTCAAGGTTCCTTCCCCACTCTGAGTTCTAGGGTACAGATGTGGGGACCTGCATGAAAACCCCCTAAGCTTATTTTTACCAGCTTAGGTTAAAACATCCCCAAGGTACAAAGTATTTTCCTTTTTCTCTTAGACTTTATTGCTGCCACCACCAAGTGTCTAACAGATATATAACCGGGAAAGAAACCGCTTGGAAATGTCTTTCCCCCCAAAATCCTCCCCAAACCGTACACCCCCTTTCCTGGGGAAGGCTTGATAAAAATCCTCACCAATTTGCATAGGTGAACACAGACCCAAACCCTTGGATCTTAAGAACAATGAAAAAGCAATCAGGTTCTTAAAAGAAGAATTTTAATAGAAGAAAAAGTAAAAGAATCACCTCTGTAAAATCAGGATGGTAAATACCTTACAGGGTAATTAGATTAAACATAGAGAATCCCTCTAGGCAAAACCTTAAGTTACAAAAAGACACAAAAACAGAAATCTACATTCCATTCAGCACAGCTTATTTTCTCAGCCATTTAAACAAAACAGAATGTAACACATATCTAGCTAGATTACTTACTAAGTTCTAAGACTCCATTCCTGTTCTGTTCCCGGCAAAAGCATCACACAGACATAGAGAGCCTTTGTTTCTCCCCCCTCCAGCTTTGAAAATATCTTGTCTCCTCGTTGGTCATTTTGGTCAGGTGCCAGCAAGGTTATCCTAGCTTCTTAACCCTTTACAGGTGAAAGGGTTTTTCCTCTGGCCAGGAGGGATTTTAAAGGTGTTTACCCTTCTCTTTGTATTTATGACAGCTTGCTTGCAAAGGACTGTGTCTTAATCTTTTAATTCCGTGTCCTCTTCTCTTTCAAAAAGTTAGTCAAAGGACTTTTGGATTTTCAGTGCTGTAAAGAATGCTGCATTAAGAACAATGCCTTCTTTTAAACTAACAGTTGAATAGTATCTCTGTGCAAAGCAGACATTCTGCCAAGTGCTTTGCTGTCTTTTTGGTAACAAGAACAGTAGTATATAAACTTAGACTCCTTTTAGTAACCATTGCAGAACAGTAACAGTGTCGTTACTTCTGTAAATTAATGCAGGATCCATAGAAGTGTGTGTGTCATCATGGTGGAAATGTTCTAGCTGATGAATACTGTATATGCCTTTTTATTAATCTTTGCAAAATCAGAGCATTTTCTCCCATTTAGAAGAATTTATTACTGGTAATGAATACTGAGTCATATAGTGTGTGTATGTGTAATGCTGACAGACTCTGGTTATCGGTGGGTGGGATTGAACCCGGGACCTCTGAAGCTTCGTGCATGAGCTAGAAGCCATATGGCCCTTAGCTAAGGCTGTAGAGCAGACTCATTTAACTCTAAGTGGTCTCGGTGCCGCTTAGATGGGAAAGAACACCACACCCCCCAGGTGTGTGGGTTACATACTTCCCCTAGCTGAGGAAGCGCATCCTGAGCTTCAGAGACTTCCCCGTTGAAATCCCGGACAGGCCCCTTCTTGTAATGCTGACAGACTGGTTGTCGGCAGGCAGATCGAACCTGGGACCTATGGAGCTAAATGCATAAGCCTCTCCTGCATGTGGCCACGTGGCCCTTAGCTAAGGCTGTCGGACAGACTCATTCATCTCGAAGTGGTCTTGGTGCCACAAGCTGGGACAGAGCACCGCACCGACGAGGTGTGTGGGTTGCATATGCATGGGTATGTCCGCTTCATAGTAGTGACCGCTCCTGCTTGCCAGCAAACCACCTTACACAATAGCAGTTGGTGGAGCTTTCCAATAAAAAGTAAAAACAGTTACTGCCACCATTTTAAGTCCCCAGTCTAGCAAGGAGAGGTTCATAGGTGAACCCCCTGTGCCTCTGTTGAGCCCCCATGAACTCCAGCTCCCTTCCCTTGCAGTCAGTGGGGCTGTGCAGGTGCAGGAGTCTGCCTGAATGTCTCCTTGTAGGATCAGGGCCAAAGTGTATACATTTTCCAGGGCTGAAGGCCTGATCCCTCTTACAATGCCAAGCAGCACGACTTAAAGGCAGTCAAGCTTGACTCAATTCCTTCCTGTCCCAGTTTGTTTATTATTACTCCATGTACAGAGATTAATATGAGTGATGGGAAATAAATCAATACACTGAAGTAGAAAAGCAAAACTTAACTTGGCTGGAAACAAGAAGAGAAATTACTGAGAAACAACCCTTAAGTACATACAGGATTAGCACACTAAACTGATATTGGATTGTAAATGAGACCCGACCCCCAGTCGCTGTTTTGAGAAATGGAGAAGCTACCCACTCACCTCAGTGTGCAGAACAACTGAGCCTTCCAGGCCTGATGTATTGTTGATCCTGCTCCTGTGTAGTTTACACCAGAGCAAGGTGAATGTAACAATGGTATCAGATCAGAATACAGTAGTTGCTCATTAGTAGCAACATATCAGGCGCCCTTTTGCTACGTTGCTCCTACGCAGCTCTGGCTGTTATGGGGAGTATTGACCATTCACAGGAGAGAACGTGGTCCCGGGGAAATGCTGCTCATAAGCGGCAGTTGCTCTTATAAAGTGTTGATGCAAACAAGTGTCTACTGTAATAGCATTTTTGAAGCAGCACTATAATGCTAGGGATTAGCGCTCAGCTGCAGTCCAGGAGCTGGCTCTTAATTCTCCTGTTTTACTATTTTTCAAGTTGATATCTTACAGTTGCTGTGGGTACGTTTCTGGAGATTACCACTTTAACTCAGATAACAGATCCCTCCCTCCTGCAACCAAAGTCTGTAATTACCTTTATACTACCCACGAGGAGGGCCACTGAATTCAACAGGACGCCGTGGATGTGCAGACTCTGTTGGCAGGATCTGGGCCATCTACAGTAGAGATGCTGTAAAATTTCCTTACACTAAAAGATTTGACAGCTGACATCTGGCAGGGAATCCAGGAAGACTTTGCTTAAGTTCTGTTGATATAGATTCCTGCACAAGAAGGCTGATGGAATGTTCTGCACTTTGTCGCCTGCCTCCACGGGATAAAATCACACCAGTTATAAAAAGATTGACCATCAAAAGCAGTTATTGATTCTGCATACAATAACATTCAGAAAAGTGTATATTAATGCACTAACGTCTATTGAAGTAAATATACGAACTCAGGAGAGAGGATTATTCAAAACCATGATAAATAGTCAGATCACGGTCTATACTTCTCATCAATATTTAACTTAGAAACAATCGGCTAATGGTGAACCAGGAATTAGCATGCAACATGGAGCCCTTGTGCTATAAATATAGGTTTCCAATGTGTATATGCTAAGAGCTGCTTGGCACAGCAAAAGAAGAGGCTGTGTGTTTAACAAATGTCCTCATAATGAGCTCAATTGAAAAGCTTATTTAAGGTTTCTGTATTCATTCCAGACCCCTCCAGCTGTCACATTTGTCACATCAGCAGTAGGCTAATGTTTATCCTGTTCTGGTTGATAAATCAGACTATATGGAAAAAAAGTTCTCACTTGGGCTATTTGTTACAGTTTTTCATGAGAATAGGAACTGAGCATAGAATCAGCTTCTACTTAAACTATTTTTTTTAAAACAAACCGCTCAGATTTAAATATTCAACACTGAGAAACTATAATGTAAAGGACATTAAAGGTGTTCATTTCATAAATGTATTCACTGAAGTCTGAACCCACATTGCTCCATCTCCATGAGATGAATAAAATATCAGATCTCAGATTCTAAAACTGACTACTCTTTTTCTCAGTGTGTGGCTGGATTAGAATATCAGATATAATCTGAGGGCTCAGTTTTAGTTGAATTATGTCTTGATTCCACAACCTATAAAATATATATGCCCGGTTCTGCCTATTGTAGCACACATGACCAACATATGCTTTCCTGGGCTGAGCCCTGTAGATAACTGGAAGCCTGTAAAATTTTAAACCTTACATGTAAACATTTCTCCCCTCTCCTTGCCCTGGAAGAAAATTCACAGTCATGCACACTTACAAATCACTGAATTATGGAGCCCAAATCCTGCCGGATGCTGCTGAATGCCCTCACCTCCCATTCAAGTCAATGGGAGTTTAGGGCTCTGGGACTGTACAGAACTGTAGCTGGCCATTTTGTCTGCAATATAATTTTCTAACGAAAGTCACTTTTACTGAGCACCACCAAGTTCAACTGGTGCAGATTCACTTACCCTTTTTTTTTTAAAGAGTCCCTCCAGTATCCCAGCACCTGGCAGAAGCAGTGGAGATCATAAGGGACTAGGGCAGGGATGGGCAAACTATAGCCCGGGCGCCGCATCCAGCCCTCCAGATGTTTTAACCCAGCTCTTGAGCTCCCGCCGGGGAGCAGGGTCCAGGGCTTGCCCTGCTCCAGCCGGGGAGCAGGGTCAGGGATTTGACTCGCTCCACGCAGCTCCCAGAAGCAGCAGGATGCCCCCATTCCGGCTCCTACACGTAGGGGCAGCCAGGGGGCTCCACACGCTGCCCCCGCAGCTCCCATTGGCCAGGAACTGCGGCCAATGGGAGCTGCAGGGGCAGCATCTGTGAACAGGGCAACATGCAAAGCCACCTGGATGTGCCTCCACATAGGAGCTGGAGGGGGGACATGCTGCTACTTCTGGGAGCTGCTTGAGGTAAGTGCCATCCAGAACCTGGACTCCTGGACCCCATCCTCGACCCAAGCACCTGCCCCATCCCTGATCGCCCTCCGAACCCCTCCATCCCAGCCCAGAGCAACCTCCTGCACCCCCAACACCTCACCCCCAGCCGGAGCCCTCACCTTTCTGCCCCTCCCCCTGCACACCAATCCCCTGACCCAGCCCAGAGCCCCTCTCCTGCACCCTGAACTCCTCATTTTTGGCCCCACCTCAGAGCCCTCACCCCCTGCTGCACCCCAACCCCCAATTCTGTGAGCATTCATGGCCCGCCATACAATTTCCATACCCAGATGTGGCCCTCCGGCCAAAAAGTTTGCCCACCCCTGGACTAGGGCCTACTCCCATTCCCTTCCTTCCACTAGCTCTAGGGCAGTTGCACCTGATGCATCCTCCATCTCCAGGGGTCTATTGGGGGAAGAGGTTGAAAGCCTACCACTTTCACTGGCTCTAGATTCTCCCAGCACTTTGCCCTTGTGATGCCACTTGCATTCTACTCAGTTAAGCACTGAGACTACCTCAGCAATAACTTGCTTTTCCTGGCCTGCCTGCTTTGTGTCAGCAATGGAAATAGGCAAGGGTTAAAACAGATTTTTTTAAAAAGGCGTGAGGTTTAATTGTACAAAATGGAGGCAAGCGCTAAGCATCATTAGAGAGCAAGAGTTATAAATCATTTTAAAATTACAGAAAAACCTAAGGTTAAATACGGGCTTGTCTACACTGGCACTTTATAGCGCTGCAACTTTCTCGCTCAGGGGTTTGAAAAAACACTCCCCAACGCCGAGCGCTGCAAGTTTCAGCGCTGTAACATGGCAGTGTAGACAGTGCACCAGCGCTGGGAGCCATGCCCCTCGTGCAGGTGAGACAACTAGTAACGCTTTAACGTTGCCAGTGTAGACAAGCCCTAAATGTCCTTTAAGAGGTAAAGGCTAAAATATTTTTCTTTAAAATAATTAAGCAGGGCTTAACCACAAATTTAATGAAGATGGAGCTAACTCATCTGTCTTTCGGCCTGATCCTGCAAAAGACTGCACATGTGAGTGTGAGTAGTACATTGAGCTGCAAAGGAAAGGCAGAGGATTCTATGCCAGTGGATCCTAAGGCTGTATATCCTCACCATGTAGATCACCTCCTTGAAAGATTCTGTTCCCGTGTACCTCAACCCATCTTAACATTGGAGGGGTTGGTTTTGCCATCCATGTAGTAACAGCCTCTTCACAATATAGCATTTTAAATCTAATCTATATCTTCTCCTGTCATGCTACAATAGGCTACTTATTTCAATTCCATTACAGTAATAATTCCTAGCTTTTATATAGCACTTTTCATCACTAAACCTCAAAGTATTTCGTAATTTTTTAATGTATTTAGCCTCATCACACCCCTGTGAGGTAGGGAAGTGCGATTCTCCCCATTTTACAGATGGGGAACTGAGGCAAGGAAAGGCTGAACATTTATTTCCTGGACCTGAGACATTATCTTTCTAGCTCTAATTTCTATTATTCTTGTAATGGGCAAACCTCAGAAGGTATATATGGTTTGGTTAGCCAAGTACAGTCTCCCCTCAGTGGAGGAGGAACCTGGCTAGGATTCTCAAAAGAATAGATTGCCTTATGAGATTTCAAACATGGCCTGGGGTTCCTGTCACATTCAAAATACCGTGAGCCGCAAGTTATTCCAGCTTCTGAAGCTGCCACTAAGCGCAGAAAACACTTGAGTTTAACCTGAAATGAATAAATGGTTTTGAACTTCCAGAAACATTTGTTATAAAAAGATTGACTCCCATTGACACCATACATCGCTTGGTTTACTGAGAATGCCTTGGGATGAAGTTACTTTGCCTGCCTTTGTACACAGTCACCTGATTATCAGCCAGAAGCAAGGGTAAAAACATTTTGCTACAGAATTTTTGCTCACATATACACACACAATAATGAGAGAACCAGAAGGTAACACAGGTGTCCTCACTATCGTCAGTAGGCACTGTGGTATTATATTCATCATTCACTAACCGCAAATCAACTTTTAGAATCCTGAAAATCATAGATTACAAAAGCTTTTTTTTTTTTTTTTTTTTTTAATGCTGTGAGTGTAGAATACTACGGACTTCAGTTTGCTACAAATACCTCAAAGACAAGCTGGGCAGCAGGGATTGTATTACAGGGCTACTTACCAGATCACTTGCAAGCGTGTATCTTGTAATAGGCTTGGTGTCTGCATTTCAAACCTGGCCCTTAGCAAGTGTTGTGAGATCAGTTCAGGTTGCACAAATGATCACATCTTAATACCTCTGCCACCTCCAAGCAGTAATAAATAGTCCGCTTAGAATGTTGTACCCCTGTTCCTGCCTCAGCTCAGTAGCTTGCAGGAGAGGGAAAGGGACAAGTCTTAAATAGCAATCCTCAGTTTTTTTCATTTTGTGGACCACTTTGTACAAAACATTCTTTTCCATCTCTTCTCCAAGCCTTCCAGTCCCAAAGCTTTTCCCAGGATATTATAGAAAGGTGAAGGAAAATACCATTCGCCAGATACTCTCTGTCAATTGATGTGGGCTGAGAGGAATCAGGAGAAACAAATTCCTGAGAGGCTTTCAGGGATGCAGAAAAAAGAAGCAACGTCTCCACTTCATGCTTTCTATCCCTTCCAAGCCCCTGGAGGCTTCTCCACCTTAACGCATTACAGCTAGGGCTCAGGAGCCTTCTCCCCTCAGGAGATGGCAGATATCCACAGGTAATGTTGTACTAAATAGCAATAACATGTGCCCCAGTATCACCCTGAGCCCCGCTTCCCTAGAGAATCTGTCATTTATGCAGCTATTGGAATGAATGGCCCGTGGGTATGTAGTCTCACATTACCAGGGAGCAGGGGGCCTAGAAAAAGAACTCAGAGCAGCTAACATTCCATGGAGTCCTCAGTCCACCCACAGAACTACAGCCCCTTCCCACCCATATCTTCAGAGTAGGTAGCCCGCCTCCTGCATGATCCACAACTACAACCTGAGGGCAGGAATAGTTAAAAAGTCACACAGCGACCATGTGGAGTTACCAAGTTTTTCTGAGAGGGTACTTATTATATGACCCCATCTAAGTACCAATGGTTTGAGGAAATTTTTTTTCATTAATGTAGATTCCTTGCACCCTCTCAATTACAGTAAAACCTGCACAAGACACCACCTGTAAATGAAAAAGGCAACCTCCAGTGCTAAGAGACCACCCCAAAGTATTCACAAACAGTGAAAATTTCACTCCATCTTTATTAGGCTTAATATCCCACCACTTCAGGTTTGTGAATTCTAGAATGGGGAAGCTGTCTGTTATGCATGTGGTTTGTCCCAATGAAGTTCATAGAACAAGTCATGTCTGTAAAGTTAAACACGTGTACATGTTTGCAGCATCAGAGCTTTAGACAGTAAACTCCTCAGAGCAGGGAATCCATCTTTAGGTGTACTGTGAAGCACCACGCACATTTATAGTGCTATGTAAGTAGTAATAATAATAAATTACTACTACCAGTAAGTCTCCAAAAATATGGTGATCTTAGTTTTTTTAAACTAGCTTGTTACAAAGGGTGCTACAAATCTATACATCGTGTTAAAGGAGTTTGAGAAGATTACTACTATGCTGATTATAAAACCTTTTGCATTGAGAGAGAACAGAACTGAAACAAGTACTACATTAAAATGTTAAGTACCATTTCCTTTACCATATCAATTTAAGACAAACTGCTGTACCTAGTTTCCCCAGCTTCTACATCTGTTCTACACGAAGAACTTCTGGGGATCCCCGGATTTTCGGTTTCATAACTAGCATTAGCAACCAACAGTCTAGTAGACAGCAGCTAGTTTTATTTTAAATGATCCAGGAATACTTCACAGGATGAGAATCTATTTAAAACTTCCCGTATCTTGTGCCAAGCAACCTCAATAAATGTCACTAGTTCAAATGTTGAATCATTGCTTAACATTTTGAGTAAGAATCAAATAACAGTTCAGATGTATTGTACCTATGGAGAGGTACACAAATATATACCACAGGAGCCATTTTTATTGTTACATTACCATGCTGACAATTCTATTCCAGGAAACGTCAAACATTCATTTCAGGTTAACAGCTGAACATCTGGATACTTTATATCGCACTTAAAGGCTGTTAAAATGCAATTATTTAATTAAAATATATCCTGCAGCAGCAGCACCCAATCCATCCCCTGGCTCAGATTTTTTTATTTTGGACAAGGTGGTGCTATGTGTGCAAACATGGATATCCAACAGTTTCTATACTATGTCTATACAGAGCGAGTCCCTCTAAGCTTATATTAATTCTAAAATCGCTAAAACTATCTGAGAAATTTTCTGCTGCACACAGCTACAGCTGTCTAGACTATCTAATGGATGCTGCAAAGGTTGTCTATATATACTGTATTTATTCCACCGACAACCAGCAATAGGAGAACTATGTAACTATCCATGTGCCTAGCTTTTAACAATAAGTTTGATGGTCACTGTAATAAGTAACGAATCAGTGGAAGCATGCAGTGTCATCTCCTATTGCTAGACACAAGTAAATTCCAAAGCCAGTACCCACATACCACTAAATAACTGAGGAAGATGTACTGGTGCAGGACAGTGCCAACTGTTGACTGGACCATTAGCGTATCAGCAATGCTTTAGGGCTGAATCCTGCCAACAAGCAAGTATTATTAGTATTAGCCATGTTTTACAATAGTGCCTAAAGGCAAACGAAGCATGAGGCCCCATTGCAGTAGCCACTGTACAAAAAGAGGAGTAGACAGTGACTGCCCCAAAACGCAAGTCAACTCACTCAGGTAAGTAATTCTATTGGCTTTAACAAAACCACAGTGGAAGGGATTACAAGACTGTGCCCTTAGAGAAGGGGCCTGTGCTGTGTGTTTCAGTATGGTTTTTTCAAATGCTGAATATGAACATTTTAATTTGAGTGGATGCTCCATCCTTAAGGCAAATACAGTTCACAAGTCTCTTAAGCTGACAGTACGGTGAAGACAGCTGACAAGAAAATATCCCTGCATACATTTTTATTAAATTTGAATATTTTCCCAGAAGCCCAAGAAATTCACAATCTTATTTCATTTACAAAAGGATCGTATAGCCAGACTATACTTTTTGTTGGTCTGCAGATGTACGTGAATGCATACAGGGTGAAGTTCATTTCTCTGTGTAGAGGATCCTCACCAAGTGACGCACAGCCCTTGTGCAGGGTCTCTGCACAGGGGTAAATCTTACTCACAGTGAACTAAATTATCCCATTTAGAAAATACCACTGGTTTTTCTATTTCAGTTTACAATAATCAGCCACTCAGAGAATAATCATGACTTTATTTAGCATGGTTTTAAAGAGTATTTTTAAAGCTCTCCTCTCACTACTTTTTCATGCTATTTGATTTTAACCCTAAATGCACCACCAAAGCCCTGAGCGGTCCAGAGCTCCCAGGGTTTGCCAGATGAGTGACTTCACTGTTGGTCCAAGTGGCCACATTCCCTGAAGTGAAGTTCTATAATCCTGCAGGGTACTAAAGCCTGTAGTGTATTTATATTCCTTTAAAAATTCAAGTACATATTACAAAATACAGGCTACGTGTTTTTAAAATTTTTTCATGGGTGTATAGAGATTAGATGTGGGAGGCAATTGATAGGGGTACTGATTTTGATAGAGCTAGTGATTTTAAACTGTGCAAGCATAAAAAGATTTATACACATGGCCAGACCTAACCTTGACTAATCAGATTATGTTAGTTAAAATGGTATATCTCATCTGTATCATCATCTGCTTGCCTATGGTAAAAGACTAGCAAAAACATCAGACATGGTATATAACAGACCATGCATGATGATGTTATCCACATTTACAGTTACAGATAGTCCATATTTTAGAACAGTAACCATATACTGTATTTAAGTTAAAGGAATTTACCCTTCTATTCTGGGCCCAATTCTGTGAGATGCTGAGTTCCGTCAACTCTCTCAGTGGGAAGTAAGGGAGCTCACTTCTTCACAGTATTGGACTGCTTGCACCTCATTGATTTACTACACACCGTTATGCCTTATTACTCACTTTATTTAGAAAGGCTTCACAGGGTCCTGAAGTCTCACAAATTCAACAGCTGAGCTGAGGAATGACATTGCATAGAACAGGCTTCCCCCTATTTTGACATCTTCCTCCCACCTAAAGCTACAGCACTTCATATGTGCAACGTCTACATGGAAGAGGTGGTGTAAGTGGAACATGTATCATGAAGGATCAACTAGATTCCTCCCCCCACACCTTATTTGAGCATGGGTTCTGGTCAATTCTTCTCTGCCATGGCTAAATTCAAAGGAGAGAATCTAAAGCATAAAAACTTTAGTAACATTCTTTTTTATATTCTAGATTACAAATATAGTCCAGATTGCAAGATTCTATAAAAATCAGACTCCCATGTATTACAAACCTCCCAAACAAATACAAAAAACATCCTCCCCACATCAAATAAACCAAACACAAAATCTTATATGATCCCCAACAGGTTTAACATTAAAGCTACCTCTGCTATTGGCTATGGCAATCCTGCATCTAAATCCATTCATCAGATTAATTATTTATGTTCAAGTTTGGTCTTGGCAATAACAGATATATTACAATGCTAAGCAAAAATGAACTGGAAAAACTGAGTAATGCTCTTGATCAGCAAACACACAACAGCGAAGCAGCATGTTTTCCATCTGGAGTAACAGAATCTAATGAAGTCTCCATTTTTATTAAACCATGGAGAATTAAGGCAAAAGCAACATATATCATTTTTAAAGGCCAGTTTTATTGATTTGGTAGCGTGAATCCTAAAAACTCTAATCTCTTCTTTCTACAATGTATTCACTGATGCAGTTTGGCTGGCTTTTTGACAGAGGGCTCACTTGCGAGGCTGGTGGATGTGCTGATTGACGTGTTGTGGATGAGGAAGCTTTTCCACAGAGGGATGAGGTTTTTGGTGAGCCACCTGAGCGGCAGCTGGAGGGAAGTCTTTATCACCCTGTTAAAGAACACACCAGTAAAAACACAAACATGGAAAAAACATGCCAACCAGTTCAAACTGATAGTATTTTTTTTTATTAAAGCATAAAGAGCATATGAAAAACATTGTGGGTCCCTCTAATTCCTTTCTTCCTTTGCACACACACTGCATGCACTCTATGTTGGCATATTTAACAGGGATTTTGTCAACTTAAAAAAAATCACACTTCTGTCTGAAAATTTTCACCTACTGTTGTTCCAAGGAGCACCTAAAATGACTGTATCTTACAGACTGGAGAGAGAACATTTTTCTGTTTTTGGTTTCTGCAGTGTCAGCACTTTGTGTAAAGTCAGGCTATTTCTACACTACAATCTACGTCGGGAAAATGTACGTTGCTCAGGGGTGTGAATAGAACGCCCCCTAAGCGACATAAGTTACACTGACATAAGTGCTTATCTGTTGGCGGGAGAGTTTCTTCCGCTGACATAGCTACTTCCACTCATTGAGATGATTTTACGTTGATGGGAGAGCTCTCTCACATCGGCACATGGCGTCTTCACCAGATGCGCTGCAGTGGCGCAGCTGTACGTGTAGACATGGCCTCAGTTTCACTGGTTCATTATGCTCAGTTTCCTTATTTGTGACAATTTTTTCACACAGCAGCAAGGGAGGGGAAAACATTTTAAAAACAGGAGAAAGGAGTTTGTTAAACCACACAAATAAACAGAATTCCACCAGGGGAGCTGCATACCCAAACTGCTTTTAACTCAAAAGTATAAACCTGGCTTAGATTTCAAGATCAGAATGTCCCTTTTAAAGAAGCATTGGTCCCACCTGTGCCATCATCACCTAACACCTACTCTGCAAAACCAGGTCAATTGCAGTAGTATGTATTTGCTGTAAAATCAGCAAGGAATCAGGCAGCTGCTTATTTCTGTCTGTGAAGTCATCCCTGTCAACCCTTCAAAAAGCAATGGAGGACAATCATTAGCATCCAAAGGGGCAGGGACTAGAGAGGGAGTATCACCATATCCCTGTCTAAACGCTGGGGAAGAATCTAATTTTCTTATGTTTAGGCCAGAAACACTTTAACTTCTGCTTACTGGCAGACTGACAATGTTGTAAGAAGTGATTTTATACAAAACAGAAATCCTATGTCTGCTTTACTTTCCCTCCATTTTACCCTAATGTCCCCTCTATATCTTGTCAAGTTTGCCTTTGCTGTTTCAGTGCCATATTGTTCATTAGAGAGATAAGGTGGGAGAGGTGATATATTTTATTGGACCTATTTCTATTGCTGAAAGACAAACTTTCGAGCTACAGAGAGCTTCTCTTCAGGTCTGGAAAAGGTACTCAGTGTCACAACTAAATACACGGTGAAACAGAATGCTTAACAGAAGTAAACACATTCTAAGAAGGAGAGCTCTGTGTGGCTTGAAAGCTAGTCTCTTTCACCAACAGAAGTTGGTCCAATAAAAGATATAACTCACCCACCTAGTCTATTCTATGACACCATTCAAGATGAAGTGGCCTATTCACACCTCTTCAGTCATAGGACAAAAAAGGGGAAGTTTGTGAGTTACATATTGTTATAACAAGCCATGAATCCAGTGTTTTTAGTTAGACTGTGATATTTAGTGTCTAGCAAAGTTATGAATTTGTCTTTTGAAAGTGTTGTGCAGATTTCCCTTAGGACAAAGACTGAGAGGTCAGATATGAAATAACATTTAGTGAAAGGGTTGGCCCATGAGTGATATGGTGTTTGTCTTTTATCACTTTTCTATGTGACTTCATTTGAGAGCATAGTAATTGTCTGGTTTCACCCACATAGTTGTTGGGATATTTAGTGCGCTGGATGAGGTACACCACAAGGTGCAATAGGCATACGTAGGAGCCATGGATCTTGAAAGGTGTGTTGTGGGAGGTACTGGTCAATGTAGCAGTGGAAATAGGTAGGTAGGTTTTGCATCTGTTGATCTGACAGGGTCCGGTGCTGCTTTGTGTTGGTGTGTCTTGGTTGTCGGGCTCTTGCTTCTGATGAGCTTACTGAGATCAGGGGATTGTTTGAAGGCCAGAAGAAGGGGTTTGGGAAATATTTCTTTCAGGTCCCCATTGAGTATCGGCTGTAATTGTTTATTGATACCTTATATGGGTTACAGTGTTGGGTGGCAGGTGACAACTACTGGTGTGGGGTTGATGGGTTTTTTTTTCCTGTATTGAAGTGGGTTCTCTTGTGGAATTTGGATGGCCTGTTCCATGACGTGATCTACTTCTCTGGTGGAGTGTCCTTGTTTGACAAAGTTAGTTTTTAGTGTGTTAAGGTGTGTATCTTGCAGTTTCTCCTCTGAGCATATTCTGTGGAATCCGAGGGCCTGACTGTACATAACAGATTTCTTGGTGTGTTTGGGTTGGTAACTGGATCTCTGAAAATGGGTGTGGTGATCCATGGGTTTCTTGTATATAGTTGTCTGAAGGGTTTCACTGTTGAAGCTGATCATCGTGTCCAGGAAGTTGAGGCTGGTGTGGGAGTGTTCTAAAGAGAATTTAATGGACAGGTGGTGGTTGCTGAAGTTGTGGTGGAAATCTATGAGGGAGTTTAGGTTATCTGTCCAGAGGATGAAAATATCATCAATGTATCTCAGGTATATCACTGGTTTTGTGGTGCATTTGTCCAGAAATTCTTCCTCATGGGGGTGCATGAACAGGTTGGCATATTGGGAGCCATTCTAGTACCCACAGCTGTTTCCATGGCTTGGACAAAGTGTTTGTTGTTGCACGTAAAATTGTTATGGGCGACGATGAAATGGATGAGTTTGGTGATGTGTTTTGGCTGGATATCTGAGTGTTGTCCTTTGTCTTGTAGATTCAAGGCAGGCAGTGATGCCATCACTGTGAGGGATGTTGGTGTAGAGGGAGTTGATATCCTTGGTGTCAAGGATAGTGTTCTGAGGGAGGCTGTAATGTTGCAGAGTTTGTGGAGGAAGTTGTTTGTGTCATGGAGGAAGCTGTCCCTTTGTGTGGTGAGTGGTTTGAGGATGGTTTCTATGAGTCCTGATATTTCTTCAATAAAAGTGCCATGCCCAGATATGATGGGTCTGCCTGGGTTCCCCTGTTTATGTATCTTGGGAAGCACGTAGAAGGTCTCTGGGGGGGCAGTTCATGGGGGATGAGGTTGTAGAGATTTTCTTGGAGTTGTTTGGGGAAGGTATCCTTAAATTCCTGGATGAACTGTGGTGTGTGTGTGGGGGTCTTTGAGTTCTTTATAGTAGGTGGTGTCAGAGAGTTGGCGGTTGGTCTCACTGATATAGTCATCACAGCTGAAGATTAGAATGGTGCACCTTTTATCTGCTGGTTTGATCACTATCTGATGGGTGGATTTCAGGGACAGTGTTGCTGTCTTCTCAGCAGTGGAGAGACTGTGGTGAATGGGATGTTTAAGGATTTCAGTCAATTTTTTTCCTGAAGCTATCAATGTAATCATCAAGCGTGTTGTTTTTGTCTACTGTTAGGTGTCCAGTCAGATGATTCTATGTGGGTGAAACCAGATAACAACTGAGCTCTCACATGAATTCTCACAGAAAAATGATAAAAGACAAAAACACTATATCACCTGTGGGTGAACACTTTTCACAAAACAATCACACAATATCTGACCTCTTAGTCCTCATCCTCAAAGGAAACCTGCACAATACCTGCAGAAGATGAGTCTGGGAATTTAAATTCATAACTCTTCTAGACACTAAAACTCATGGTCTTAATAAAGACACTGGATTTATGGCTTATTACAACAATCTGTAACTCACTAACCTCCCCCTTTTTTGGCCAAAGACTAGGGAGGTGCTCTCAGGCCACTTCACCTTGAATGGTCTCTTAGAACATGTGTTAACTACTTATGCTAAACAATCTGCTCCAACTTGTATTTAGTTGTGACACTCTGAGTACCTTTCCTAGACCTGAAGTGCTCTGTGTAGTTCGAAATCTTGTCTCTTTCACCAACAGAAGTTGATCCAATGAAAGATATTACCTCACCCACCTTGTCTCTCTAATATCCTGGGACCAACACAGCTACAACAACTTGCAAACATTAGGCTAACTATAACTTTCACCATTAAATTGCTTCATTTAATCCCTCTCCGCACTAAATCTTTCTCTTCTTTGAAGATATTTTCTTCTCTGAAGTGATATTTTCCCCTCTTTTTTCTCCTCTGCTGTCATTGATTTTTTTTTTTTTGGGTACCCTCTCCTACACCCCTCTCCCATATGCTTGAGATGGCAGGCTGAATGCAGGTATTGTTAACACACTAAATAGGACTGGTGAGTGTTTTAGAAGGCAACCAGTTGCCAAAGTGGGTCTATCACTGTTCTCCAGAAATGTTTCTCTGCCATGAAGAGAACCCTCTGTTTCCGACTGAAGGATGTGGTTGCCAAAGTGGCTCCTAGTTCAAACACTGGGTTTGTTTGCTGGTGGTGAACTGACAAAGTTTGAGGATAAATTTCAGAGTAGCAGCCATGTTAGTCTGTATCCGCAAAAAGAAAAGGAGTACTTGTGGCACCTTAGAGACTAACAAATTTATTTGCGCATACGCTTTCGTGAGCTACAGCTCACTTCATCAGATAAAGGCAGCCACAGTAGAGCCTGGAGGTGCAGTACTGCCTGCCCGAGCTATGGAGTGCAGACCACTGGCTGCAAGCATGCTGCAGGTCACCATAGTAACCTACCAAGGAGTGAAGTGTTTCCTATAGAGCAAGATACAAGCTAGAGGAAGGAAAAGTTCCAAGGTAACTAAGGAAAGGGCTTCCCTTCTATTTTCTCTAGGCCTGGACCTTGTAAAGTCCAGGTCCCTTTTTTTTTATGCTCAGCAACGTGAAGGATGTTTGTATGTCACCAAGGCAAAATGTCACCATTTTAGAGCTAACAAAGTGAGACTAAAGCTTCTAAATTGTACTGCAAATGTCTTTGGCTGTAAAAAACAAACGAACAAACAAACCCCCCAAAACATCTCAGGATGAAATCCTCAAAGGCACAGTAATGCTGAGCTTTATGCGGGGGAAGACCAGCACAACTATATTGGTGAAATACACACCCAGTCTCATTCTGAGGCCAGCAAGTCTCTGCTACTCCAGCTCAAGGGCTTGAGCAAATGGCAGCAGCCTCTTCTTGGCATGTCAGATCTTGTGGCTATATCACTTCCCCAGTGTGGATCTATGGCCTACCCCAATTACCACCATCAGGTTGGGTCGGCATGGAAACCTTTCACAGTTCACAGGGAGTGTGGGCTTCGCCTCTCCACTGGCACCCACTACAGTTCCAATACAGGACTTAAGTCTTGCAGAGGACATTGTAGTGGCCGGGCACATACAAGGGTGCAAATTTTTCCTAACTGATTCTGACAAGACTATTCACAGCAGCTTGACCACTGATTAAATGGTCCTCTGTCTCCAGCCCCACAAAATAAATTAAACTTACCAACTGAACACTGCAGTCTAGTAAGGGTGTGGGGTCTGGGTCAAACAAAACATAACTGTAACGAATTTATTTACACTCATTTAACTCACGCTTAGCTTAGTTTCACCTCACCAATTGGTGGTAATATGATTGACACAAGTTTGGGTAATTCATTTTGAGTATATAGGGAGGTTACGTTACATTCCATACACTGACAATTATAGTGAGCTTGGGCATGAATTATTATTAAACTCATGGCAAATTAATGTTAATCACATCATGTTGATATTCATGCCTTAGCTCTATTATAATTATAGGAAGCAACTAAAACACATATTTATCATTTTTGAGCACTGACAGTCGTTACCCCCCACAAGGAGCTTAGTCTACTACAAAATAGAAAAAAAGTTTGTCCACAAGAAACTAGACTATGAAACACTTACATCAGTATGCCCAAAAGTAATCCATTGACTTTAATGGACTATTTACATGAACAGGTGCTCACATTTGTGAGTAAGGGTTGCACATGTAGTCCAAATATGTGCACTGCGATGGAGCTAATAATGTTAATGTAGGCAATTGCACGGTTAAGCTCAGCTTTTCAGAATTCTCATTACTTGATTACATTTATGCATCTCCCCAGTATAATTTTAATGAGACACTTATGTCTGAGATGCAATAAGGATGTAAGTGCTTCTATCATATCACACACACACACAGAGTTAGATCATGCAGTTGGATCTGTGTGGCTGGACCCTTATGTTTGTGTGGTGCCCATTTGAGTTCAGCAGGTGTCTACCCACATGGATCAAGCTACTGGAGATGGCCCGTATTGTAACAAGTTTTGAAAAAAGTGGACGCAGTAGCATCAAGGATACAGGACAAAGCCCAATAGCTTCACATTTTTAAACTCACAAACTGATGAAGTGAGCTGTAGCTCACGAAAGCTTATGCCCAAATAAATTGGTTAGTCTCTAAGGTGCCACTAGTACTCCTTTTCTTTTTGCGAATACAGCCTAACATGGCTGCTACTCTGAAACTGAAACAGTAGAAACAATTTCAAAATAGCTATTCACCCAAAACATAATAAAATAAAAAATACTCAAGGAGGCTTAAATAAAATATAAATATAAACCCCAATCAAGTCAAATATGACAGGGAAGGGAAAAGATCAAAATTAAGAATCTTTCTCTAATCAGTGATGAAGTGAAAAGGCCTCTTAATCAAATGACTGAAAAGAAATTAACATGTAAACTCACTCTTGCAATGACACCGGAGATGAACACCGTTGGTTTAGGTGGGCTGAAAAATAAGAAAGATTATAGTTATTTAATTGATTTGTTCAACTTTACTCACCCTCGAGGAAAAAAGAACACAGGTACAGCAGAAGTAAGACTTTGTTAACCTAATGTAAGATGACTCTGGATATTCTTGGCAATTAATGGATGCTTAAAATAGAAAAGACAAATTCTCCCTTCAACCTTGTTTTGCTACACTAATTAGCCCAGGGGTCTCAAACTCAAATGATCACGAAGGCCACATGAGGACTAGTACATTGGCCTGAGGGCTGCATCACTGACACCCCCCCACCCGCTGCCCCCGCCCCCAGTCCACCCCTTCCATGAGGCCCCGCCCCTGCCCTGCCTCGCCTCTTCCTACCCCTTCCCTGCCCCCATTCCAACCCCTTCCTGCAGTGAAAGGGACAGCAACCTGTCAGTAAATGCACAATCATATCCTATTTCTTCTTTAGCAGAAAATAAGGAAACCTAGACATAGATATAAACTATTGGGTTACAGGATAATGTTCATGCTCAAATAAATTGGTTAGTCTCTAAGGTGCCACAAGTACTCCTTTTCTTTTTGCGAATACAGACTAACACGGCTGTTACTCTGAAACCTGTCATTAAATCCACTGATTCTCCTGTCCATTTCTGCTAGACCTCTTTGTCCCCCAAAGATCTTTGAAAATCAAGATCCTCAGCTTTCTCTTTGAAGATCTGATTAACTATGACATGTGCCAATGCAGATTTCGAAGGATAAGAAAAGGACATGGTACACTGAATCAGTAGTTCTCTCACTCTAATTCACAGGACAACTTTATGAGAGATCGTCTTACAGATGCACCTTCCATCCCGAACCCTACTGCCTCGTTCTCAGAATGTTTAATTCTGTGAACCATTAGACCAGTCCCAGACACTACAGTTTTAGAACCACTGCACTGAGACATTTACTGTGTTTGCAGTAGTTCAACATACACTACTGTTACTGAGTAACACCTGCTAAAAATAGGGGTTGAGGGATGTGAGCATGTCAGCAGACCCCAAGAAAAGAGCAGGCTATCATTGCTACAGTTGTAACACACTTTCAAGTGCTTTAAATTCTATTGGTGTTTTATGCTAAGTACAACCTACATTTCTAGTATTTTATAACCTGTGATGGTTGCTTTGAGGATATAGTTAATCTGATGAAAATCGGTTTGACAGATGTTGTTTTGAAGATGCAACATTACTTTCTCTAGGCTTTAGTAAACAAAAAAGTGAAAAAAACTACTATTATTACTAAAATAAAATTCTTATACATGCTTTTACTATTTTATATTTGATAGACACATTTATTTAAGTTTAAATAAAAGGTAAAGTAGGTCTTATTTAAGGAATACAAGGCTAAATTTGCAAGGATTGTTTAAAGTTCATGAAAATACTTTCATAAGGAATTCTAGTTTTATTATAACGTGGAGAAAAAGCCCACATTTAAGATTTGAATGTACAAAGCACTTATTCCAATTTTATATGTGCAGTACTGTCAAAAATTGCACCGTTTAAACATCACAAATGTTACTATGTTCATTTGCACTGAAAGTATCCAAGTAAGATAGAGAGTTCTATTATTTCACAGTACTGAAGCTTAAACAAAGTGTTTACTGACATTACAAGAAAATCATAGAGAAGATAGAATACTTGAAAATTAAACTAGATGAAATAAGGTATTATGAATACTAAAAGCTTATGTCTTCATTCTGCAGTGGTTTTAAATCTGTGAGTTCAAGTCTCACAGATATACTGTAAAGAATGACCATATGCTAGGGTTAAAAATTAATAATATGGAAGTCCCTAGAGAACGCATAATATTACATTATTTTAAAGGGAGAGACTGCATAGTTCAGTATCTGAACCCTGTTGTACACATTGACAATGCTCATTGTCTTTATGGAGTTAATTAGTTGGGAGACAGGAGCATGAAGAAAAAAATGCAAGAAACAGAAAACAAATAAAGGAATAAATTGCTAACTTCCAATGTGGCAGAACTTCAACTTTCCATACTAGGATCAGTGTTGTTTCATATCTTTATCAGTGCTGTAGAAAAGGGGATAAACTGTGAGATGGTAAAATTCAGCAGCTAACACAATTACTTTGGGAAGTCAAGATTAGAAAAAAATTGTGAGAAATTCGCCACTGACCTCACAGAGCTAGATGATGGAGAAGCACAGTGATAGATGAAATTCAGCGCAGACTAATGCAAAGCCCTGCACACCAGAAGGAATCATTTGAACTACTCATATATTGTGCACTGGTAGTTGGAAAACCAAACAAAAATGTTAGGATGAATAAAGAAGGGAATAGAAACAACACTGAAAATGTTAATTATAACCCTTGTTTAGAATATTGCATTCAATCCTGGCCACTCCATAAGGAGACAGACAGATGAAATAGAAAGCGTACAGAGACGGGCAAGGGAAAGGATCAGAAGCATGGAGGGCTTTCCATGTTAGCGATTGAGGCAGCACATTTAAAACTGATGAAAGGAAATACTTTTTAAAGAGCGCATAATTAATCTACAGCTCTCACTGCAACAAGGTATTATTGAGGCAAGGAGTTTAGTATGATTCAGAAGCAGAATTAGACATTTATATGACTTGAATGCATCCATAATCACATCAGTTAGGATAAAAAAAATGTAAAAAGTCTATGAACCCTCATGCTCTAGGGCACAAATTAACCTCTTAACTAGGAGGCTAGAAAGAAACTTCCTCTGTGGTCAGGTAGGTTACACTTTCACATGTCATTGTCCTTCCTGGGTTCAACTGAAACACTATTTTCTAGTATACTTGAACCATCTAAAACCACGCAGTACTATGTGTCTGAGCAGAAGCAGAGTTCTCAAAAGATTTCCAGTCTGCCAACATTGAATCAAGTTGTCAGACCTCAAGGAGGACACTTGGAGAGAAATATAAGCACACACCTTTTTACTGGACTAAGAGAGTTTGAGACAAATGGGAAAATGATAAATATTTTACTAAACAAGAGAGTGCTCTCTCCTGAACAGGGATGATTGGCACACAGGTGTTCTTCCCTTAGAGAAGGGAGGTAGAGCCAAACCTACAAAGGGACTTAGGTACCTAAACCCCAGTTTTAGGTCTTGAAATCCAATTTCTAGGCTCCTTGGTGATCTACAAAACCCCTGCTCAGCTGCGCCTAACCCAGTAGGTGCCAAAACTCGGTACCTAAGTTCCTGCTGTGAAAATTCCCTAGACACCTACATTTCTGAGTCTGGGCATGCACACTGCTGCCTCCCTCTGTGAGCAGTCCCAACTCCACACAAAAGAGCAGGAGACAGATGACCTCCCTCATAACCTATCATCCAATGGTTTGGGTGCTCAGCTGGGACAAGGCAGACCCAGGTTTTATTGCCACTTCTGTCTGATGAGGTGGGACTTGAAAAGGGAAAGATCAACTACATTTCTTGGGTGAATGCCCTAACCACTGGGCTATGAGATATTCTGATGTGGGTCTTCCTCAAACCATCCTGTTGAAGCTGGTCCACTTTAAATAATTGTATAAGTGTACAAAACTCGCTGTATAACCTCCAGTCTAGTGGTCAGAATGCATACCTGAGAGATGGCAGATTCCCTGTTCAAATCCCTTCTCTTCATCAAGCAGAAAAGGGACTTGAACTAGGCTCTCACTCACACTCTAGGTGAGTTTCCTAACCACTCTGGTGCAGGTTATGAGCGGGGGCACTGGGCCATCTTGTGTGGAGTTAGGCACCTGCATAACTCATTCTTACAAGAAACAGCTTAGTCACCTGACTCCAGGACAGGGTTCCTGGCTTGGATTGCAAGCAGACGTAGGCACCTCCCTGCATCCCAGACTTAAGGGCTGAACTACATGAGAGGGGCAGGGCGTCTCCCACGGGTAGGGCCCTACCAAATTAAGGGTCCATTTTGGTCAATTTCACAGTCATAGGATTTTGTAAATAGTAATTTCCATGATTTCAGCTATTTAAATCTGAAATTTCACAGTGTCGTAATTGTAGGAGTCCTACAATTGGGGTGGGGTCACAAGGTTCTAGGGGGCGGGGGTTGCAGTACTGCTACCCTTAATTCTGCGCTGCTGCTGCTGGCGGCGGCGGTGCTGCCTTTAGAGCTGGGCAGCTGGACAGCAGCGGCTGTGGATCAGGAGCCCAGCTCTGAAGGCAAAGCCGCCGCCAGCAGCAGTGCAGAAGGCTGGCATGGTGTTGTATTGCTACCCTTATTTCTGTGCTGCTGCCTGAAGGGCTGGGCCCTCAGTCAGTAGCTGCTGCCCTCCAGCCGCCCAGGTCTGAAGGTAGCAGCAGCGCAGAAGAATGACATGGTATGGCATTGCCACCTTTCTTTTTGCGCTGCTGCTGGTGAGGCATCGCCTTCAGAGCTGGGTGCCCAGCCAACAGGTGCCGCTCTCCAGCCACCCAGGTCTGAAGGCAGTGGAGAAGTAAGGGTGGCAATACTGCGACCCCCCTTACAACTCCCTTTTGGCTCAGGACCCCCAATTTTAGACCAATTTCATTGGTCTCCTGAGTGAAATCTGTATAGTAAAGGGTAAAATCACACAAAAGACCAGCTTTCATGGTCCGTAATGCATTTTTCATGGCCTAGCTGACGTGGCTCCTGGCTTTTCGGGATCTCATTCTCAGGCCCCTCTCTCCCCATGCATTGTACAGGGAGCCAAGGCACCCAACTCAGGCTTTGTAGAAAAAAAGAAAAGGCAACCAAAAAAGCAAAAAAACCCCAAGAAACAAGACAACATGCAAAGCATCTGATTTGTGTTTCTATTCTGTTTAGGTCCAATAAAGAATAGAGACAACTGTACATTATTTTTTATTATTGAGTCTGCAAATAAACCACTACATAAATGAATTACAACACCATCCTGGCCACTATGGATGTAGAAGCCCTCTACAGCAACATTCCACACAAAGATGGACTACAAGCCGTCAAGAACACTATCCCCGATAATGTCACGGCTAACCTGGTGGCTGAACTTTGT